GTGTTTACGGTAGACCATGTACTCCTGGAAATGTGAAAGGAGAAAAGAAAAATGAACCTTTGCCCTTCAGATTCTACATTATTCTTGTGTTTATCAGAACAGAAGATTAGTTGAGCACGGCGTTGGAGGTCTCCAGGAATTCAGGCAGGAGATTTTCAACACTTCATGGAGAGATTGGATCAAACCCTGCATTCATTTTATGAAAACGAACGGTAGTTTGAATTCCCGAGTTTGCCCTGATGAACTTTCTTGCTTCCCCCCTGCAGCTGGTTTTGACAAATCCAATGAAACACAAGTAAGGTAAAAACAAAAGAACACATCAGCTTAGGGATCAGAACGCTTCCAACTCTTAGAAATCCCACATTTCTTATTTACATTAGTTGGAATTAAGAATCTTAATCTAAACCCGCAGAGACGCAGAGAACTGAAAACATGGAAACTCTATCCCCTCCCAAACGTCTGTGTGTGTTATCTCATAAGAGCCCTGATGAGGTGATACACTGATCCCTCTTTAAGTCCCACCCTGAACCCATGACCTCCGAGTACCCTTCCAACCAAACCAATCAACCAGTCACAATCAGCAGAACTCATCACGGCTCACGTCGCACAATCATTAGTGATCATATCAACGATTTGACACCATGTTTTCTGTGACCCCCCGTTACAACACTGAGCCCTCAGTATCCCACCAGGACCTGCCCTCCTCTCTCCGTGTTCTCAGTAACCCCATCTGCTCTGAATGAACACTGCATTAGTGACCATTAACTCAATGGTCTCCAAAACACTTCATGAACTGGCTTCGGACATCTATTCAGCACAATGCGGCTCAAAAAAAGCCCGTAAATCATCAAAAATAAACCCTTTATGAGGCAAAGACTACCATTAACCCTTTGATGCATGAATTATGAAATCTTCAACCATGATTTTTTTAACAATTTTTGCCATTCATCTTTAGGTGTGAATGAAACAAATTTCAATAAATATTTTTTGTAACATTTAATAATTTACTAATAATTTATTACATGTCCATCTCAGTGGACAGTGTGCATTCTGAACATGAAATATGTTGGCTTGACTTACTGAAGTCCAAATGGAGGGGCTCAAATGCAATAAAGTCATCAACAGCTGTGCTTAATAGCAAAAATAAATAAATAATTCTGAGTACCTGTCCACTGTAGTGACCATTATGCATCAAAGGGTTAACCCTTAACAGCTGGTGGCTTTTTAATGGTGTTTCAGCTCGCTCAAACCTACATCTCACGAACCAGTGGATCTAAACCTGATTACCTCATGGAGTAAACCCAGTTTACCCACAGGAAACGGAGTAAGTCAGTATTACAAATACTGAGTTGAAAGCTGGATGTGTTAGTGTTAGGTTGCTAGATGTTGACTAACTCTAGTTCAAGCACTTTCAATGTACGTTTTCAGGATTTTCCAGCACTTTACAAGGACTGTATTACATGATTATTCGACCTTCTTGCCCATTGAAGGGCTGTAAAGAAGCTACGTTGGTGATCTTCTCAGTCCCTTAACCCCCAGCAGGTCCCTCAGGTCCAATGACCAAAGCCTACTGGTTGTGCAGCACACCAGGCTAAAGACCAAAGGTGACAGATCATTTGCTGCTGTGGCCCCCAGACTCTGGAACATTCTCCCTCTGAGCCTGAGATTAGTAGCCTAGTGAACTAGACTAAATTCTTGCTTTGTGAAGTTTGGTCTAGGAACGCTCCACTGGAACCTCTGTAGCCCCTAACAGCATTCTGGCTGGCCAATCACAGCTCTCTAGAGGGGTTTCAAACACATAAAGAGCTGTGAATGGTCCAAAATGGTGGGCCAATCATAGTGCTCTATCTGCTTAGTGAACAAATCACAGAGCTTTATCCGTTTTGTGGGCCAATCAGGGCACTCCATATGCCTGGTGGGTGGGATGATGCAACAGAGTGAAACATGATGGCGACAGCTCGTTTGAAACGGCTTTTACATCAATTTTGGACTATTAGAACTTGGGCTTCATTAGAATCAGGAGCAGATAGATGTATTTAAGTGTTTTTTTAAGGAAAAAATTGTGTTTTCTCCTTCTTCAACTGTGGACCGCCTCATTTACCGATAGCTCTTGCGGTGAGTATGTCACATTCATTGTCCAGTAGCATGCGGAGATCATTTGAAAGACAATGGTAGAACCCGCCCCACAACCAAGAGCCGTCAATGGAGCGTTGCCAGACTAAATAATACATTTATTTAGTCTGGCTTGCCAGGCTATGAGATTAGTAGACTCAGTGGTCTCCTTTAAAAAGCAGCTGAAAACTCACTTGCTCAAGCTAGCTTTTACATGACCTTCGTCACCCTCCCCTTATTCTGCACTTTCCACCAATTCCACCTTTCCCGGGATCCACTGATATGCTTCTCCACTATTTATTTTCTATCTCTCTCTCCTTACATTTTTTAACCACAATTTTCCTCCTCATTTTAAACATACTTTTAAATCAATTTTTAAATTTTTTTTAAAATATATTTTTAATTTTTTGTTCTTGTGAAGCGCCTTGTGATTTTTATCTTGAGAGGCGCCTTATAAAATATCATTTCTTTCTTTCTTAAAAAAATTTTTCTGATGGTAAAACATAAGTTTGGTTATTTTTTTCAACAAATCAAGTATTTTTTTTTATTTAACAAATGCTGAGCACTAAACACCTGCTGGAGTTCACAGTGATTTTGAATACAATCTAGCAATAAGACACTCCCTCAGCAGTCTTAAACCAACTCTGGTTACTACCACACACGGATGGTTTGTGCAATACCATTAGACTTATGCAGATTGACAGGTTTTGGATGGTGATGTCCGATACGACTATTTCAGAAACAGTTTCAAGCACTTCCAAAACCTCTAAAATACTTTAAAATCTGAGCATTTTAAAGGATTTTAAGCAGCTGTGAGACATTAGCAGCTCTCAGTCAACTCTGAGTGAACAAACGTATTTCATGGTTTCTCAATGAATGAGAACTTTAACAAATTTTTTTAACAGGGTATATACAGCAATCGTTAAGTAAAATTTACTACTTTTTAATACTTTTTTTACTACCTTCAGAATTTTTTTAAAACCATCACAACACTAAATTGCAAGTGTTAATCAGCGACCTATTTACACATATTTTAACATATATAACATACAAAAAAAATAGACTTAGAGACTCACTGATGTTGACAATGTATTGCACATATTTATTTTACTTAGAAAATAAGCCAGGCACTTCTGTTCAGCGGTTCAGACAGTTGACCATGAGGCCTGAAATGATGCAGAACGACCACTGAATATGACGTCATCATTATGTGACCAGATATGCTAAAGTAGGGCTGCTCGATTATGGCAAAAACAATAATCACGATTATTGTGACTGAAAATTAGATCTCGATTATTTAAGACGACGTTTCAATTTATGTAGATTTTTATTTTTATTCAGTCATAAAACTGCTCAGGGCACAATCAGGGCAAAAATAAACAACAAACAAGATGATCACTAAAATAACTCCTGATTCCCAGTATAAAAAGACCAATATACTTATAGCTCATAGTTTATGATCCAAGGGCTATAGACCTTGGTTTAACTCATTTAAGTCTAACCAGTACAGACCCAAATATCAATATCTTGCAAATACTGACAGCAAGAATTATACAGTGGCATTTATAACAAATACATGCAAATTGATGTTCATAAAATGTTGCATAACATTTATTTAGTCATGTCAAGGTGCCGTAGGAGAGTGCACTAGCACCGTGTCCTCAGAGAGATTAGTTATTTATCAGCGTGAGGAACTTATTTCTACCTTATTTATAAACTATTTATTTACAGGTCCATCAGTTAATGTAATAATTGTCCCAACCATAGTTGCACCCCCACCCCCCAACCCGGTCTCACAGCAATCGGGGCAAGCTGCACGTGTGTTTAGCATGCCGCACGCGCACATTTAGCCGTTTTTATCGGTTCAGGAGTCCGCAGGTACGGTGTGTGTGTCACTCACTCTGGTTACTCCAACAGGGAACCGGCTCTGAGAGCTGTTTCTGTAGCGACTGACACATCACTACATCATTCCCTTTCCTAATGTCCTGAAGAACGGTCCGGAGCGCAGGCAGAGTGTTTAGCTAACCTGCAGGAAACGTCGACGACAGTTATCCAGAAAGTAGCTAAGGGTTACCAGAGATGTTTCTGAGGTGTTCTAGGTACTTTTAAGATTTAAAAAGTCAAGAAGGGGGTCTGAAAAGCTGTTGAAATAGCGTCAAAGTCGCCAAGTTGGCAACACTGTGGAGGAGCGCTTCATTTGCAACTCAGGGCAGCGCAAGTGGGCAGAGCAAATAATCGGCTTGTTTTGTTTTTATAATCGTTCAAAACATTTCATTCGGAATATATTTCTATGTCGATGTTCAGAATACTACATCTGAGAGTCTGAAAAAAATAATACCTAATTTGGAAAATATAATACCTCTGAGACCAAATTTAACACTTTTAATGGCCTTAAATTTGACTATTTTTATTTATCACTTTTTAATACTTTTTAAAACCCCGCGGACACCCTGTTTAATCTGAATTTCTTTTTTTTTTTAATCTCAGTTGGGTCAGCATCAGCAGTAGAAAATTAATCGATTTTATTGACAAGCCAATTTTTTGTTGCAGGCATCTCACATTTTACTGGGAAATAAAGTAAACATTTAAGAGGCCATACAGTAGAAAATACACTTTCTTGAGTGATATTGTCATTTCCTCATGAAAACGACCCCCAAACCCATTTTTTGGCTGCATTCATGCATTTTCCGGTGTCAGCTGCAAATTTAGTCTTTACTTTGAAAGTTCTGAAAATGCCTAAATGAAAACTACTTATGTCGACGGGCATTTCTCCTCTGCCTGAAGCTGGTGGTCTAGGTTCTGAAACCTGGATATTCTGTGGATATCCTGACAAATTACTTATGCATCGGGGACAAAACACCACCGTAAAAACCACGCATGCTGTCTACAAAGACGCACGTAATGACCAGCACAGAACATGTATGTTAGGTGACAAATGTTTTATAACAAACTTGGTAGTCCAGTGGTTAGAGTGCCAGACTGGCATGTAGTTTTGCGCAGGTTTACCTCCCAGTTGCTGCATCAACTTTTTTTCTCCTTTTTTAGCTTTTAGCCATTGTTGTTTTCAATCCTTTATTGGTAAACTGTTTAAAATACAAGGACTAATCTTTTTCTTCTAACTTTCTTTGTTTATTTAGACAGTGCGAGTCATGTGAGGTGAGCTGACTAAATCAACTAAAATGCTACTTGAAAATGACCAAATTAAAAGATCTTTCTATTTTCTGCTTTTGATACAAGACAAGGCTGAAGTTCTCATCTTTGGACTGGAACTTCAGAAAAGGAAACTACTTAGTCAATCACCTGACCTGAACTGCATTAAATTAGCCTATGAGAGCAAAGTAAGGCACCTTGGTGTTATCTTTGACCAAGACATGTCATTCAAATCCCAAGTTAAACAGGTTTGTAGGATTTCCTTTTTCCACCTTCAGAATATTGCTAAGATTAGAAGCACCCTTTCCAGGAGTGATGCTGAAAAACTAGTTCATGCATTTATTACATCAAGACTGGATTATTGTAATTCATTACTCTCAGGAAGTCCACAGAATGTAGTTCATATCTCTCCCTACATCAGCTGCCTGTTAAAATCAGAATAGATTTTAAGATCCTCCTTCTAACATATAAAGCTCTTAAAAATCAAGCTCCATCAAACATCAGTGATCTGATTGTTCCATACGTTCCTAACTGAGCACTTCACTCTCAGACTGAAGTTTACTGCTGGTTCCCAGAATATCTAAAAATAGGATGGGAGACAGATCTTTTAGTTATCAGGCTCCTCTCCTGTGGAACCAGCTCCCAGCTTTAGTTTGTGAGGCAGACACCTTTTCTACTTTTAAGACTAGGCTTAAAACATTTTTATTTGATAGGATCTATGGTTAAAATCTCATGTTAGACCAGATCTGGACAAGTGGAGGAGTAGAGGGAGGTGGAGGGTACAGTGGAGAATACATTCGATAAAGACGGATCTCCCTTGCCCTGCCTTCAACATGCCTTCATCTAAAAAGGCTACCCAGAGTTATGTCTGTAGTTATGCTGCTGTAGGCTTTGACTGCTGGAGGACATACTGACCACTTTCCACACTCGACTACTTTCTTCTACAATTTCTGTCTTAATTGCATTATTTCCTGCTATTTCAGTTGTTAACTTTATTTTTCCTTTCAGTGTTTTTCTCCTCAGAAGAAGCTGCAGTGGTGTTCTGCTGAGCTGTGGTGTGTTCCTCATGGAGGGGGCCATCGGTTTGAACACTGCTGCTAAACATTCTCCCTCTCCTGATAACATTTTACTCTCTTTGACATGGAATGTGCTACTACTAGTTCACCTATTTAATTAATTGTAGATTCACTAGGATAATGATAATAAAGTTTATCTCTTACTAAGTAGAATATTTATTAAGAAAACACAAGGTAGCCCTAGAAACACTACCTGATATGTTGTGTGTGTGTGTGTGTGTGTGTGTGTGTGTGTGTGTGTGTGTGTGTGTGTGTGTGTGTGTGTGTGTGTGTGTGTGTGTGTGTCAAATCCTCTCCTGATTTACGGGCCACAGTGTGGGGATTACCCTGGCTTTGAACACAGCCAGGGCAGTTAACTCGGCGCTCACCCTCCACTGACGGCTCCTGCCAGAGAAAGCAAACTGTGTTGTTTTTCCATTGGGCCACACTGATCACAACGATCCATCATCCAATGAAGTGATGTCACCAGGACAACCGGCAGCCGCTATGCGTCTAAAACAATGACGCTAACATGCAGAGATTAGCATCAGCCTCTTCTTTGCTTCAAGTCTCATTTTGAGGAAATCAACTCCATCTGCTGGATCCTGCTTTTAACCAATGAGAAGAGCAGCATTGTGGAGGAAAACCGAAGCCAGATTGGGTGAATGGATGATTTCATTCCTGTCTGTCCATTAGTAGTAGGAGATGATGTTGATGATGATGATGACACACACACACACACACACACACACACACACACACACACACACACACACACACACACACACACACACACACACAAACACAAACACACACACATATATGCTGAGCTTCCTTCCATTACATTGAGGTCACGTATGAAGAGTGACTTGTATGATACACAGAGGAACAATTATCAGAACAGCAAATCACAGCCATCTTTTCTGTTTTCTATGAGGTATCCCCAGTGTTTTCCAAACACACAGGAAGGAGGTCTTTAACCACCTGGGTCGGGTCCATCTGCTGTCGTAAACATTTGGAAACAGAACTGTGCTATGAAATGGAGGAAGGAATTCCCAATGGCATCATGCCAGAGCCTTTTGGCTCTGTGTTAATATTTGGAACAAATATGGAGGCAACAATTGAGCATCACATAAAGTCAACTTCTTCAACAACTTCTTTTTTTTTCTTCTTCAACAACTTCTTCTTCAACAACTTCTTCTTCTTCTTCTTCAACAACTTCTTCTTCTTCTTCTTCAACAACAACTTCTCATTCAACAACTTCTTCGTCTTCAACTTCTTCGTCTTCAACTTCAACTTCTTCAACAACTTCGACTTCAACTTCTTCTTCTTCAACAACTTCTTCTTCTTCTTCAACAACTTCTTCTTCAACTTCTTCTTCTTCAACAACTTCTTCTTCAACTTCAACTTCTTCATCTTCATCTTCTTCTTCTATTTTTGGAGTAATTTTAACCCCAAAATCTCTCACCTCCATTCACGCTATGGTTAACCAAAATCTTTTAATAAAACAGCTCTGGGTCCAAAATACCAAGATGATACTATAATGTATCTGCGTTAACTTAAGTAGCTGACAGCACATAATCAGTGCTGATAAAAGTTGGCCATTGTCATTATTTTATAAAACAAGTCTATTCATTGTTTTGTTCATGTGTTCCAATCTTATTCCTTCCTCCTCTGACCCCAAAGCCTCCTGTGTGTCCTAGCTCCTCCTCATCTCTCCACCTTCCCTCTTCCTTCACCATTTCCACTTTTTCCTACCATCTGGCAACCTCCCCTGCAGATGACACCCCTCTAATTAGCCCTGACCTGATAATTAGCCACCTAATGGGCTCACTAACGACAGACAGGCAGCCTTATTAGAGGCACTGCAGCTCAATATCCTACCAAGAGAAGAGACAGCTTAGTTGGAACAGAAATGATTCCTAACACCACTGTCAGGTAGAGCTGTGGGTGTATGAATGTTTGAACTTGTACCTCAAGCAAGTCGATCATACGTGTCATCTGGGAGTAGATGAGGACTCTGTGACCCTGGGCCTTTAGCCGGTTCAACAAGATGTCCAGGGTGTGGAGTTTGCCACTTTCTGTGATCAGGCTTTCTTTATCTGGACAAAAGAGAGAAAAAATTATTTTAAACCAGAACCACATGGATACAAAGGGATTCAATATCAAATAAAAACTTTTCAAAAGAAATAACTCAATACAAGGCCAGGTTGAGCCTCTCACCAGACTGGAAACAGTCTGTCCACTGTCTATGAAAAATAAACAAAGACAGATGATCGTTCCTGAGATTCAAATGATTGGTTAATCTGACTCTGGATCTGTTACTAAACTGCTTCCAACCATGTTCAGCTGATGAAGAATTAGCTTCATCTGGGACAATGGTAGTATGAAGAAAGGTCGGTGCCCCCATCGACCCAGTGACAGGCACGCTTTGGTGTTTGACCTCAGGGTCGTGGTCCGAAGAGGGGCGACCTTAAAACCAGGGTCAGGTGACACAGTCGGGTCTGGGTCACAAGAGGATCACCCATGGGAGAGTCCGGCTTTGCTGTCCTGAATTTGACTTGGACACTTGTTCCTTCACACTTCTACTCAGTGAAAACCTGGACTTATTAATATTTACCCATTTTTCTTCCTTTTTTTTTTACCAAAGTTTAAGTAACCAAATGTGTCAAAATCAAGCGTCATAAAATAAATTGGTCTGAAAATGGTAAATGAATCTGTAATGAAACATCCTAGAATACATTCTCCTGGTTGGTTTAAAAAAAAACAGGCCTTTGCTGACTTTTAAGATACAGCATTCAAAGCTAATCTGTACTCAGGCTGAACCTTGACCTGTGACCTGTGTCTATAATCCCCTAAATAAAGATCAGATCCCATAGAGGTGTTAAAGAGGGAATAATGAATGAGATGAATGGGCGAAAAGCTCTGGGGAGGAACTGAGCAGCTCGCTGACAGGTTACTGTGGAGTGGTGTTAGCCTGGTAAATGCTTTAAGGCTTGGATATGCTGGCAGAAAGTTCATTTTAAAACAGGATTTTGTTCTAAAGTTTATTTGTTTATTGTCATTTGATCCCTTGGGTGGCAATCTGACTTATGGATGGGCACAAAAATGAAAGATTAGGTTGGGCGTGTTTTTCAGTGTCCTTAAAAGTCATTTTAGGGATGAACAATATATCAGCATTAACATTGGTACGGGCCATTGTTCGTCATTGGTTTTGGCATTTGTGCTCCGGTGCGCTTGCTTCAGGAACTAGAAGTGAGCTAGACCAGAGCTGAGCTAAACATGGCAGAGTTTGGAGTCCTATTTCCTGGCATTTGGACGTCTCGCCTCTGATTGGATAACAGCACTGACTCCGTTTCTTCTGCAATGTTGATGTTTTATCTTCACAAATAACACAAGCCTGAAGGAGTTCTCCTGTGTGGTGGAGCTGCTACTGCTAACGGTTAGCTTCTCTGCTGTTTCCTGGATAATAAACAAACAACAGCCTTCCCCGTCGCGAGCCAAGATGGGTGAGTCCATGAATGTTAAGAGACAGTGTGACGTAGATCTGTAGGGCTTTTCAAATCCTAGATTTTCACTGTTTATTTTCTATCTTAAGGTAATGCAGGATGTAGGTGTAGGAGACTATTTTCATGTTCAGCCTGCACGAAAAACTCAATGAGACCGATTATAATCAGAAATAATAATTAAAAATGTTGTCTCAGTGAAGTTGACCTTTAATTTCTGATACGAATATATGCAAGGTCCCTCCCTCATAATTTTAAGTAACTAACATCACATATCTCCTATCATGCATACTACATACCTACAAGATGGCAACTACCTTAATTTAAGTTAGGCCAATTGTGCCAAACAAACTCCGTCACATTTTGATATTTTGATTGAGAGTAGTTGAAATTCTATACAAAAGTTGTCATTAAAAAAACTGATCATATCTGATATTATATGCCAATATCAGCCAATAGGAATGGTAGACTGATGATATCGGACTTCCCTAAACCTAATATCGATTACCAGGCCAAAACAGCTATATTAATAATGGATTCTGTTTTCTGGAACTGCGCTGCTCTCGGTGGCTGCATGTTGGAGTAGCTCTGTTGACTATATGTAAGTTTTGCCTTTTTTTTCTTCTAGTTTCTCAAGAAAAACTGTATTTTTTTGGACACTTTTCTGTTTCTGGTGTTGTGAAGCTTGGAGGAATTTTACATCTATTTTTTTAGCCTTTTTCACTTTTTGAGCATTTGTTATGATGTGTAACCATGGCAACACACTGGTTTACAATTGGGAGCAGCTGATTAACATTGGAAAGGCTGAAGTAATACCTCAACTGAAGCCACAAATCCTAAATGAGCTAAAACGCAAGAAGCGTGGGTGCAGAGCGGGAGCAAGACAGAGAAAGAGGAAATTCAAACCATCTCTTCCATCAATCATAATGGGCAATGTGAGATCACTGGCCAACAAGATGGAGGAACTCCAAGCCCTTTCAAGGACTCAGCCAGAGTTTCGACAGTTTCGGAACCGCTGGAGGAGATAATGCAGAGAAGGATTCTCCAGAGAATCAAGAAAATGATGGACAACCCTGAGCATTCTCTTCACAAGACTGTCCGACAACGGAAGAGTGTCTTCAGTCAGAGGCTTCTTCAGTTTTGCTGCAACACTGACCGCTACTGGAGATCCTTCCTGCCAACAGCCATTGTAACATACAACATCTCTTTGATGACTTGATTATTATTATTATTATTATTATTATTATTATGAGCTACTACAGCAATCAATTTCCCTCTGGGATTAATAAAGTATTTTTGAATTGAATTAATATCATATGTCAATATTGGCCCTAACTTAAATTTTCATAGTATTTAAGGTTTATCGGGAAAAGTAAATTATGCTGGTACTCCTTTCAGTTTTTGGAACGGAATAAAAATGTCTAGAAGAAAGAAAGAAAAATTAACGACCTCATAAGTAAAACAATGAGAGAGAGAGAGAGAGAGAGAGAGAGAGAGAGAGAGAGAGAAAGAGAGAGAGAGAGAAAGAGAGAGAGAGAGAAAGAGAGAAAGAGAGAAAGAGAGAAAGAAAGAAAGAAAGAAAGAAAGAAAGAAAGAAAGAAAGAAAGAAAGAAAGAAAGAAAGAAAGAAAGAAAGAAAGAAAGAGAAATCCAGACAGAGGGAGAAGCGGGTCTGTGGTGGCTCCAGTTAAAGCAAGGCTGCGATAGGCTGGTGGTGATGTTGTGGTTTAGATCAGACGGGACCTTCTCACCACAGGTGCCAGCCTAACCACGGGCTGCTGCTCAGTCAAGGGCACCCATTTACCCAGCAGACCACACTGACAAGCACCAAGAGGGAAACCGCAAACTGGAAACGATGCAGAAGCTCATATAAGGCAATATTGCTTAACCTGTCATTCCTCTGTTTCTGTTTAGCGGGTTAAATCCAAGCCAACACGATCCGATGACATAGCATTTCCAATATTGTCTTTTATGTTAGCAAAATATCTAATGAACCACTGGAAGGATTTCATCAAAACCCTCAGAAAGTGTTCATTAGATGTACATCTACATTTATGTTAAAGGCATACTTTGCAACTTTTCCATATTTTTAAAAGTTTTCTTGAGCAAGAATGTGCTAAAAATGACCATTTACAGGGTAAATAAAATGCCACCCAGACCCTGTTGCTCCCTGTGGCCAGAATATTCCGCTTGCAACTTCAGACTGGCGGGTCGTTCTGTTGGGACCGACATACCTGCATGTTAGAGGCTCCAGCAACCATAGTTAAATGTTTACCTGGGGCGAGAGAGGGCAACATTAAATCTTATCTGAAACTGCTGGCTAAAGATAAGCGTAAATACAGTAAGATTGTTATTCACGCTGGCGGTAACGACACCCGGTTACGCCAATCGGAGGTCACTAAAATTATTGTTGCTTCGGTGTGTAAGTTTGCCAAAACAATGTCGGACTCCGTAATTTTCTCTGGCCCCCTGCCTGATCGGACCAGTGATGACATGTTTAGCCGCATGCTGTCCTTCAACCGCTGGCTGTCTAGGTGGTGTCCTGAAAACAACGTGGGCTACATTGATAATTGGAAAACTTTTGGGGGAAAACCTGGTCTGATGCGGAGAGACAGCATCCATCCCTCTTTGGATGGAGCAGCTCTTCTTTCTAGGAACATGGCCAGTTTTATTAGTCCTCCATGACAACCCAGGGTCCAGACCAGGAAGCAGAGTCGTAGTTTAACACACCCCTCTGCAGCTTCTGTACTGTTACCCACCCACTACCCCACTGAGACCGTGTCCTGCCCATGGTCAAAATCACACAGATTAAATATCAGGCTTAATAAAACAAATCATGGAAATCTCATAAATATTAGAACAAATTCAACTGAGCAGAAAACTAGAAAAATTAAATGTGGGTTGTTGAACATTAGATCCATTTTTTCTTAGTCTTTGTTAGTTAATGACTTGATTTGTGATCAACAGATCTCTCTGCTCTCTCTCACAGAATCCTGGCTGCAGCAAGAGGACTATGTTAGCTTAAACGAGTCGACTCCTTCAAATTATTTAAATCATCATATTGCTCGAAGTACAGGGCAAGGAGGAGTAGTAGCAACCATTTTTCATTCGGATTTATTAATCAGTCCCTTACCATTTAATAGCTACAGTTCGTTCAAACATCTTATTCTTAGTTTTCCTAATCCAGATTGCAGCCATCCTCCACGACTCCCCAGTGAGTCGTGGAGGATGGCTGCTTATACTGAGCCAGGATTCTCTGGAGGTTTCTTCCTGTTAAAAGGGAGTTTTCCTCTCCACTGTCGCTTTATGCTTGCTTAGTATGAGGATTGCTGTAAAGTCACGGACACTAGTCAGTGACTTGATGCAATTTGCTGGGTTCCTTATATAGGAAACATTATTTCTGATTGGCTTAATGAACTGACTTGAATTGGAATGTTTATTATGTGAAGTGCCTTGAGACGACTCTTGTTGTGATTTGGCGCTATATAAATAAAATTGAATTGAATTGAATTTTAGATCATGAACACAGCTGATTTGTTTAATTTAGTGATGAATCATTCATTTAGCCACCAGAACATTTGATATTCAGCGGCATTCAGGTTACAAGGAAATGATATGCAGAGGGGAAATACTAAATAATCAGGAGGAAACAGATTGCACCAGATTGTGTTGGAACACCCCTGCAACAACCCAAACTTCCCAAACCTAAGAAATGTAGCGCGGTGAGGGGGTGGCTGAGTTCAAAATCATTTAGAGCTGCATACAATCTAAATAATGTTGCTTTACTCCAAGAGAAGGGATGCCAGGAGAATAAATAATTGCAATGAGGGAGCGATTTAGTGGTTTGAGTCATTCCAGTGAGACACGTTATGGCCTACATAATGAGAAACGACCACAGAGAATGACTTGAAAACTGAAATAAACTAAAATAGGTCCATGAATATGGAGCGTTGTCAAGATTCAGCAAAAAATGAGCTCAGTGCGTGACAGCAACGAGGACTGCACGAGGACCACACCCCAAAACACAAACAGTGTCACACCACCCTGTCGTTGCCATGGATACACGTATCAAGCTACACCACCTGCCCTGTCCTGCTTTCAACCCCCCCCCCCACCACCACCACCACCCCCCACGTGCTGGAGTTGTCCCCTTTCTAACAGTGGTGTTCTCATAGCCCGCCCTCCCCATCTCCTCTCCTTAACGCCTGCTGGCAGATTAAGCTACACCCCCCCCCCCCCCCCCCCCCCCGCACACACACACACACCCCCACCCCCGCTGTTGTCCCCCGACATTTGTAATTCAATCCCTGTAGGGCCAGAGCCAGGGGCCTGACATGGTCCTGACCCAATTAGAGGCGTGCTGCCAGCTAATTAACCCGAACCCAGCCCCGGTGCCTGGCGCCTGATACTCCCAACCTGTGTACGGTGCTAATTTCATTAATAAGCCGCCACAGACTTCTGTCCGGTCCTCTTCCCCTCTGCTTCTTCTGCTGCCAAAAAAAAATAAAAAAAATAAAAGCAAGTGGAGCTGCTCTCCGCGGCGAGCCAGATGCGACCAAAAGTGAGAGGAGACAAACAACAGTGTGACTGCAGAGCAGGAGCTGGTAAAGGAAGATGGATGGGTGGTTATGTGAGAAAGAGAGACAGATGGGGGCCACGGAGCAGGTCGAACCAGCGATCGAAGCAGGCATCAGCTTCTCACTGTATAATGATACTTTACACGGTGCAATCAATAAGTCAATGGCCAGCACTTGTTCGGCGCAGCTGATAAAGGAAATATTAGCTTGACATGACTCAGTAGCTCCTGTGCATATCGGCTAAATCAGATCAAAACTTAATTTTTCCAAAACGGCGACAGCATCAGGATGCTTAAGAGCCAGATGCCAGCAGGAGGCTTCTGGAAGCTAGCAGCAAAAGTATCACTGATAACTTAACCCTAACCCTAGCCAATCGGAGCGGCGCAAAGAAGACGATTTCTTTTGGTGTCTGAGGAGTTTTTAAACAAGTAAAAGTGACAGAAAACCCACAGATGAAAGATTAACGATGGAGAATCTCATCCAAGGGAAATGAGGCGGCTAATGGCTCCCTCTACAGTCTGTCTGGATTACAAAGGTTCCTCAGTTTTGGTAACTTTGGCTCTTTTTCTACTCCTCACATGAAAACTGTTATAAATCATCAGACAAAGAGATTTATTTATGTCTTACTACACACTCTGGCGGTTGCTTGGTTTTTCTTTTGCCAGACTAATAAAAAAGGCCGTGAATGCAGCATACTGTGCCAGTTTAATGCAGACTGAAAAAGGGGGCAGAGCCAGACGATAGTGCGGTGGTGAGGCCGCGTTGTTTTGTGCTCGTCTATCAGAAGGGCCCAGGAAGTTTCCTGCCATTTTGCCGGCGAGCCTGGTTCCTTTGAAGGGACAGGAAGGCAGAACTGCATTTCCCACAGTCTGATGTGAACTGCAGGACCACAAGTGACTGCCCTCTCCTCCTCTGCCTCTCATAGTCCAACTGATCCGCAAACACTAATATAAACAGCATATATGAAAGGTACACAAGCACCTGTGTTCACCCATGAGGGGTTTGCCATCAGTCGTATGAGTGACTACCGCATGTTTCATAAATCAGCATTTTAGTCGTTCGTACCAACATTTCAATTTTATACGTAGGATGGAGTAGACAGATACTGGTTTTATACAGTCTTTAGCATATTTCTTTGTAGCAGAACTTGTGAGTTTTTGTTCTTTTCCCTTTCAGAATTGTCCAAACAGCTGATGTAGACAAGCTCGACACTCACCTAAAAATTCGAACCGCTTCCCTGGAAAATGCGTTTCTTAGACGCCAACATCAAAAGTTTCTAGCAGGATAGTTCGATAAGTTTCCTGTTGCTGCACAAGTTTATAACTGATTAAAACAATGTAAGTATTTTCTGCCCCATCGTTACCACTGTCAGTTATATTAATATTATTGTTTTGGGTTTTTTTTTTTTTTTGAAAAAGTGTGTTTTTCATTTTACTAAAACACATCTTTCCTCCAGGGAAATCCTGCCCACACAAAGCCATCAAAAACAAACAAAACAAGAGCAGCTTCTGTTGTTTTTTCCTCCCCTGTGTCCTGATTCCTAATAGGCCCTCTGATTAGATTCCTCCATCGATATCAGCGGGCAGCGCTACTCACGCCATGGCGCTCAAACAAACAGTCATTCAGCTCTGCCATTTGTTCTTAAGGTGTGGGGCTGAGAGCACGGAGGAGCAGGAGGGTGGGAAACTTCAGCTCAGCTACTGTACATATCTGAGCCTTGATGTGGCAACAATGTGTTCGGCGCGGGACGGGTGCCGCGCTGTTGGGTCACTTCCTTCCTACCGAGGCTGAGAAAGAAGTGGGAGACCAGACGGGCTGAGATACTGATTTGAAACCAGCTCGCGGTCCTGTCTCTTACTTAGAGAGATGGAGTTGGCCTCGAGTTTGTGTGGGGACAGAGAACGAGCGGCGCTGAGCGTGGGAGAGTGTGCGCAGCGAACTGAGAGACACCTCGAGCCTCATGTAAGTGCTGCAAATTCCCTGAATGTATACACAAACACACACACACACACACACACACTTAGGCAGAGCATTTATTAGTGTTACCTAACTGAGCACTTGAACAATGAGCAGTAGCTAAACTTCCTAGCTTTGTCTGCCTCCGTATAACTTCACAAGAGCCTTCAGACTGTTCTCACACAGACACACAAGCACTTGTTTTGTTTCTCACTTCAGCAGGAAAACTCTCACAAGCATAGATGGGTGAAATTATTTAAAAAACAACAACTTCATAGCATTTAGAGTAAATGCTCAACAGAGTTAAGGAAGTCTGAAAAGTTAAATTAAGGACGTATGCATCCATTTCTCACAAATCCAATAAGAAAGAAGTCATCAGAATTCAAGACAGGCGACTTATCAGCGTAAGAGGAGTCGACAGGGTCAGTGGGAACGGACGTGTTGTCTGTAAAATGGCAATGGCCTCTATAACCTCAGACGTCCATCAATCACACCAATGCTGGCAGCAAATCACCTTCCACTTCACTCCCGACGACCTCTCATTTCGCACTTAGCTGATAAAAGTTCTGCTAAAGCACAAAGCGGACTGGAAACACCCTAAAACAGACGTCCTTATTCACGCTTTAATGACGACTGCCCAAAACCCCAATGTCTATCGAAGACAAAGAGCCGGCGTTTTTGTGGCTAAACGGTAGAAGAACTTCGAAGAGAACCAAAATCAAGTCAAGTCATCGTGCAGGAGGTACAACCAGGTAAAAATATCCTCCAGAACCCTTACCGGGAATCCGAATGAAGGACCACCCGTGGCGAAGCTGAAGGGCCATCGCGCCCCCAGGGCCTTGTGGGTAGAAGGCGTTGGACCTCATAAACCAGTCTGAGGTGAGTTCAGGAGAGCCGTACAGAAAACACTGTTTGAAGATCGTCCCCCCTCCGCCGCGTGTCACCCGCCACTCGTACTCGGCGCTCCGGTCGGCACAATAACGCTCCATGGGAACTGCTGTCACCTAGGAAACCAAAGATGTGAGTGATGAGAAAGATAACGGAATGCTGAACAGGGTCTTTGAACAAATCAGCAGCTGTGGTGTGTGTGTGTGTGTGTGTGTGTGTGTGTGTGTGTGTGTGTGTGTGTGTGTGTGTGTGTGTGTTTCTGGGGGTGTGGGGGGTGACCACTGTGATTTCCAGCTGCACTTAAAGCAAACAGATCCTCCAAAGGGCAGCTCTGTGTGCAAGTTGTCCACACACACACTTCGCAGATAATAGCCTCCCTCGTTAACAATTCCCTCCTCAGAGCCCGACCCCGATGCTGTGTACTAACCTTGGGTGTAGCGGCTAGCAGGAACTTGGGTGGTAATGTGGGCTGACAGGGCCAGAAGGTGGAGGCGGACGAGTTTCGGCTGTGGATCTTCACATCCGTGTGTCCCAACAGGTTGGGCCTGGAGGCCGTAAACACCAAATCCTGACAAACACGCGCAAATTATTTCCAAAGTGTTGTTTCACAAAGAGCTAACATTATACAAATGTGTAAAAAAATGTTTCACAGCATCTTCAAGAGTATTTCAGCTACATTGTGGGAAAAATGGGAATAAGTAAGAAAAAATGATCTACAAACGACATAAAAACAGAACCACCTCCTCAGTGGCCCTGTGGTATGAGTGTGTGCCCTGGGACTGGGAGGTCAGGGTTCAAATCATACCAAAGATACCAAAGAAGTAGGGCTGCACAATATATCGTTATCGCGATATCAGCATGCACAATATGCATATCGCAAAGAACAGATAAATATTGCAATGAATGGTCAGCTCAAATGTTTGCTACACATAATGTAATCTGTCAGTCAAACAGAAGCATGATGCCTTTTTAACGAATCAAATAGAGCTCCTCACCTATTTGGCCCATTGAGTGGGTTCTCATAGGTTGGATGCCCACCCCCAAGGTGGACGACACTTAATTTTGATGGTTAGCAAACACCTGAGTTAGCTTTGTTCTGCTCTTTTTGCTGATTCTGCTTTTCCCGGGATCCACTGATTGCCTTTTCTTGTTCATTTTCTTTCTCCCTTTCCTCGCATCTTTTACTTTTCTCATTTTTATGATTTTTTTATTTCTTTGTTTTTGATTATTTTAGTTGCCGAGTTAAGTTTTTATTTATCACCAGTAATATCGTCATCGCAATATTAATCAATGTTATCGAATATCGCCGGTTTTCCTAATATCGTGCAGCCCTACAAAGAAGGGATGGGTCAAATGTGGATATGTCCTTTTCCCAGCGTGTGATGATTACTAATGGGGACTTTAACTTTAAAAAAGAAGCTTGATTACCACGTGTTGCCTTACACGAGTTTCAAACCAAGATATTGAATTGGACCTTTAAAGGTGTGACCTGTTCATGTCGTGTAAAACTCTCAGCTACTAACCCAAGAAATCTAAGCTACGAGCTATATCCATTTTTGTGTTTGATAACGTTGATTAGCTGTATTTCAGTTGGGTTGACTCCAAAACCTAATCAGTTGTAGATGATTACTTTCTGCCAGTTTAATAAAGATATAAATCAAGGGGTTCATGATATATTTAGCAAACAAACACTCAGACTTTTCTGAGTGGACCAGGGAGGTGGTGGATGTAAACAGGGACACTCAGATGATGTTTGGGGAGTCGTCGTGGTTCCACAGCACCATCTATTGGCTGAAAAACCAAAAATAAGCTGTCAGATCCACCATAAAAACAATCTCTTGTCAGCTTTTTTTCAGTGGCTGTTCCCAAGTTTTTTGTCAAGTTGCATAAAATAAGAATAATGACCACAATGTCAATCATTCCAAAAGCGAAGAAGCTGAAAGACGGAAAAAACTTCAGGAACGAGGGACCTCTTTGAGCTCAGGTGGGGGCTCAGGGGTTGATATCAGCACACATGCAGACTGAGCTCTATAGAAATCCACAGGTTCTTGTTTCTCGCAAACATTTGAACTTTGGATTTTCCTGCTCGTTCCCAGAGCTGCTCGGAGCCGAGGGGGGAATCTAAGACGCACGGCAGCTGCAAAACTCAAGATGAGGCCTGCGGAAGAGGAGGGGGAGGATGGAGTTTCCCCTGCAGCGTTTACCCCCCGAGCACTTTCCAATGTTAGAATGGACCTGATGGAGGTCAGAAATGTGACACAAATCTGGCTGCGATCAAAATATTTGTCGAGCAAATGCGTTTGGAATGCTTTTAGGCAAGCGGAGCAACTCAACAGATTTGTGCTATTTCGTTGCTCTTTATTTGAACTGGCACCTTTGCATTGTTAGAGGAAAATCTTAAATAGCAACAAAAATAGAGAAATGTGTTGTTTGCGTGCAGTAGTCTGACTCTCAGCTGCAGGATCCCACATGTTGGAGATCTGCTGCGTGCTACCCTCCAGAGTGCTCACTGGCAGTCCATTTTAACCATTAAGCATCTGAACATCTTTTTTTTTTGTTGTTGTTGCTTCTAAAAGTCAGCTTCCAGACAGAATTACGGTTTTTACTCCAAAACAAACACACTTACACTGTTATTCTTAAAACTTCACCTACCAGGGTATCTGCAGGTTTATGGGAGCCAAATTTAAGACTTTTGAAGACCTTTTTCAAGGCCACTTTGACCAAATTTAAGCAATTTTTTTAATTCAATTTAAGCTATAATTTCCAGCTATTGCCTGGAAGCGGTGCTAACCACATCACGATTGTGGGATTAGCCATCCAGTTACCATTAAACTTGCACTTCCCCATGGCGCAAGCTCCCACCAGCTTAACTAGCTAATGTGCTCATCTAAAAATAGCCCCCTTTCACAACCAACTGAATGTGTACGGTTCCGCTTACGCCAACATCGTACACAAAAAATGCTGAACACTAACTAGAAATTCATGAAAATTTTATAGAAATAAAAGAATCTTGTTTATTGGGTCTTTGGAAATTTAAGACCTTTAAAAATTGTATTTAAGGATTATTTGTAATTTTTATTGATTTTTAGGGCCTTAAATTTGGAAAAGGAAATTTAAGACTTTTTAAGACTTATTGAGGACCTGCAGATACCCTGACCTACATAACTGAGCTAACTTCTTGTTTCTGGCTGGTCCGTCAAATTCAGTCCAGACAGACGGACAGAGAGAATCAATCTCATCTCTTTGTGCAGGAGTTGTTTGTATCACTTTAGCCTGAGTGAGAAACATTCTGATTGTGTGTTTTAGAAAAAGTGAGTCGTGTACCTTCTCATAGCTCAAAAATAATCAGTGTGTACTTCTGTGTCGCGTTCCCATTAACACAGATTAGAGTGAGATCTGATAAAAAAAACACAATTACCTCAGAGTCATTTGACTCCAATGTTGAAAGAACACTTTGTCATTAAATAAAATCCCTCCAGTCAATATGTTAGTTTTTTGTTGTTTTTCTTGTCGTTCAAGCAAGATATTTTTGAAAATACACAATTCAAAGGTCAGTCGTCTTTCTTCAGACTTCCCGCCTTAAGCCACACCTCCAGAATACATACACATACAGCACTAGTTCCCGAAGGTTCAGTTTTATGTTTTCAACCTGTTGTTAGCCCCTTTCCCACCATAATACCCAAGTTAACACACCTACGTATAACAATTTAGCATGCTAGCTAACATTGTGTGTCATTTTTTGGCGTAAAACAAGACATTTCTTAGCTTTCTTGGTTTATTTTTCAACTTCAAAATCACAGTGGCTCAGTGCCGCCAACAATCTGAAAATACCCCACAAACAAGAAGAAAGAGATCATTTCTATAGCACCTCTCAAGATAAAAATCACGAGGCGTTTCACAAAAACAAAAAATGTAAAAATATAAAAAGCATTTAGAAAATGTTTAAAAATATGTTTAAAATGAGCAAAAAAATAGGCAATTGTGATTAAAAAATGTAAAGAAAGAGAGAGAGTGAATGGGAAAGAGGGAAATCAGTGGATCCTGAGGAGGGTGTAATAGGTGGGGAGAGCAGAATAAAGAGAGAGAGGTGAAGAAGGTCATACAAAAGCCAGCTTGAACAAGTGAGTCTTCAGCTGCTTTTTAAAGGAGACCACTGAGTCCACTGGTCTCAGGCTCAGGGGGAGAGAGGTCCAGAGTCTGGGGGCCACAGCAGCAAATGATCTGTCACCTTTGGTCTTTAGCCTGGTGCGTTGCACAACCAGTAGGCTTTGGTCACTGGACCTCAGGGACCTGCTGGGGGTGTAGGGACTAAGAAGATCACCAATGTAAGATGGTGCTTGTCCATGTAAGGCCCTTTAGACCAGAACCAGGATCTTGAAATGAACCCTGAAGTTGACTGGCAGCCAGTGAAGCTGGAGGAGAAGCGGGGTGATGTGGGTGTGTTTGGAGGACTTGGTCAGAAGCCGAGCACAGGCGTTCTGAACCACCTGTAGACGGTTCAGGGAGGTTCTGCTCAGACACGTGAAAAGAGAGTTACAGTAGTCTAAGCGTGAGGAGATGAAGGTGTGGAGAACTGTCTCAAGTTCAGAGCGAGACAGAATGGGACTCAGCTTAGCAACGTTCCTGAGATGAAAGAAGGAAGAGCGAACAAGAGAACTGACATGAGAATCCAGGGTGAGAGCTGGGTCAAAGGTCACGCCAAGATTCCTGACAGAGGGTTTGGTGTGAGAAGCAAGCTGACAAACAACAGCTCAAAGCTACCAGAACCCACACACGCACATTGCCAAGGCTACAAACGGACAGACAGCTCTACCAGCCAACTCAGAACAGGCTGTGTTTAAAGTCAACAGGTCCATCACCCAAAGGTTTCCCAACAACAACACCGCCAGATTCAAAACAGAACATGTAAAACTATTTGCAACCGAATGGAACATTCAGTCTGTTACACTAGCTAGCCTGGCTCTGGCTTCACTGCCTATTCAGCTGCTCCGAGCTGAGAACACACAGTTCCTGCATATAAAGGGGGTATGTGCGATGAGGGGAGGCGCAGTTCGAGGGTGGTTGATGGATAGATTATGATCCAATTATTAAGAATAGGACGTTCACAGTGATAGGATAAGATTTTTCCAGGATTGCACTTTCAGAAGAGATTAAAATGATTCCTTTTTTCAACAAAAGGTTTAATCTATAGGTTGCCACAAGTATGAGAAAAGTATTTCAAGCACTATGGCAAAAATGCTCCAGAAAAACATCTCATACTCCACCTTAATGTCAAACCTTAATTTTCAGGATTTCTGCAGATTTATCCTAAACTCTGCTGCTCTGATCAGGGTCTGGAGACATACTGAAATAAGGAAGAGTCAGCTTTACTGGCTTGCAAGGAGATTATGTCCCACTTTGCATCCCAGAAGAGGCAGAAGAAGGCCAGAGGCACACTGTGTAGCCTCCTCGCTGATGCTTAACGCTTCTGTTGCGAGTTATTCACAGATGCCTGCTTGAGACTTTTCATGTTTTAAGATGGTGGCTCTAGATTTATTTCACCTTACCTGCAGGATGGGACTTGTTTGAGTGTTGGGAAAGGCGAGTGGTCTGTCGGGCCACAGAATCAGACCTTTGCAGGACAACGTCTGGGCTTCCGGTTCGTCATCTTGACTGAACAGACGCTGGTAGTAGAGCCGGTACGCGGCTTTCAGGGACAAAAAAAGAGCTAACCACCTGCGAGTGGGCGAGAATTAAAACAGCACACAAAATTCTAAGTAAACATTTTATGTCTTTAAAACAGATACAAGAAAGGTTCGGAGGCAGAAAGCAGAAGCCACCTGACTAAAGTGCCTCGCAGCATCATATTGGACATCTCAGCTGGCGACACATCAACAAAACGCAAAAAAGAGAAGCAGCTTCCTTTGTCGTCATCTGAGGCAGGAAAAGAGGACAGAAGACAGCGTATGAGAATACACAAAAAGGTGCATAAATAGGAAGGAACGTGTTTTGGTGTTGGCTCACCTTTCCTGTGAAAAAGAGACTGCTGGATGTGATGTGGACAGAAAGGTGACAACAGGACTTGAAGTAATCTAAGAAGGATGAGCAGAAATATCAGTAGAATTTTTACTATGAGTAAATGTAGGATAATTCTCTCAAATTAGAAAAAAATACGAGACAAAAAAAATGCTGCTTTCATAATCATTTTTGTACATAAGCCAAATTCAATCCCAACAGAGCCAGAGGACCTGTTCAACCTGAAATAGTTTCTGATGAAAAAAACCTACTTGTTCCTGGCCTGGTTGTGTTCGTGGACGACACCGTGACGGAACAGAAACTTTGACATGACGTAAGGCGTTAGGGACATGTGGAAAGGAGAGCGAGTCTCTTGACGCTCGAATAAGTCTGGATGGTTGCAAACCTGCACAAACAAACACAATTAGTCACAATAAAATGCTTAACCTTACTTTTACTCTCCACCTGTGTTGCCAACTAAAGCCTGATTCATGTTTCTCCGTCAGCTCCGCAAGGGACAGACACGCACGGATTGACGGAAGCGTTTTGCTCTCATACTTCTCCGTCTCCTGGAGTGTTGCAAAGCAATACCCCGGCAGGACACCAGAGGGCGTAGCGCTGTTCTGTGGTATCCTGTCATGTATCGGTCCAAGATAGTGTGTTTATATTGTGTTTTTTTGTATATAAGAGACTTTTTAACACGGACAAATTTGTCTCTCATCTCCTCCACCTCTTCATGCGCTCCCCACCTCTAAACCCACGTTTCCTGTCGTTTCCGTCCACAAATAAAACGCTTGCTGTGCATCTTTTCACTCCTCTAGTCACGGGGGAATTAAACGTTCATGTTTTTAGTTTTTTCGCGAGGTGTTCTTCAAGCTGCTCCGTGTCTGCCGCTTGTTATCCTCGGCTCTCTTTATGTTTTTGAGGGCGCAATGGCGGCGGTGTAGACGACAGCGGCGCCCTGACCAATCACAAGCTTGCGTTGTCCGTCTCGACTGACGGATGTTTAGAAAAGAGATCTCGACTCCATCCGTCCTTGCGGAGCTCTCCGGCAGGCCCGCAAGGACGTTGCGTGTCTCCGCGCTGACGCAGACGGAGAAGCATGAATCAGGCTTTAAGGGGAAATTTAATATTTTAGCTTGAATCAAAACCTAAACACTCTATTTTAATTAGTTTTGCATTTTGCTTTGGAAACTAAGGGGGTAATGCAACACTAGCAACATGTTATACCTTCCTGAACTGCATGACCAGGTTCATGAGTGAGGAGGTGGTGCTGTGGGCCTGCTGGGCCGTGCCCATGGAGGACTGCAGCAGATCCTCGATGGAGATCTTGTTCCTCAGAGCCTGGTAGAGCAGCCTCTGCCGGGATGTCAGCTGACAGTAGGTCAGGATCTCGATCTGCGGGGGGTAGGGGGGGGGGGGGTTAAACACTTAAAGGACAAGTTCGGCAAGTGCAGGCTAAAAACGTTGGGCCCCACTTTGTCTGAGAGCTCATTTTCCACATCCTTCTTGATCCTGCGCAGCATGAAAGGCTTGAGAATCATGTGTAATCTGGAGAGTTGATCTATGAAAACAAAAGCAAAAAAAAGCACGATAGAATTTTTAGTTATGTGCTTAATTACATGCGACACTGAGCAGGAATAAAAAGATCGGTGTCGGCAAAAACACAAAAAACACAAAGTGAGAGAAAGGTTCTCGTTGCTCTCACTCTCGTCGATGGCAGACTTGTTTTCAGCGTGACTCTCGATGTCCTTGGAGAACCACTCGTTAAACTCTTCGTGGGAATCAAACAACGTGGGCATGATGAAGTGCAGCAGGGCCCACAGCTGGGAAACAGAGATGACGTGGAGTTAACAGCTCACACACACACACACACACACACACACACACACACACACACACACACACACACACACACACACACACACACACACACACACACACACACACAGCTTACTTCAGCCATAGTGTTCTGGATAGGCGTCCCGGTCAGCAGGAGTCTGTTTCGACACTGAAACTGCAGAAGAATTTTCCATCGAACGCTGATTAAAAAAATAAATAAATAAATAAACAGAATTGTGAGATTTTGATCAAATGAAAAAGTAGAGACAGGAAATTAAGAATCACATATGCACATTTTTATCATTAAATTATACTAGAAACAGCTGGTGGTTATATTTTCAACTCATTTCTTTTTTTTGTGATGATTTTGAACACAAGTTTTAAATGTTATAAATGTTCCATTAATGTGTGTCAAGAAGTCAACCCTTGCCCGACTTCAACTCGTTCAAAACGCAGCTGCTAGATTCCTAACACGTACTGACAGGCGCCAGCACATAACACCGGTTCTCAGATCCCTTCATTGGTTGCCCGTCACTTTCAGGGTCCAACATAAACTGCTACTCTTTGTTTTCAAATCCCTCCATGGTCTTGCCCCCGTGTACTTATCTGACCTTCTTTCAATTTATACTCCCGGTCGCACACTCAGGTCCTCCAGCCTGTTGCTCCTCGAGGTCCCGAAAGCGTGTCACAAATCATGTGGACAAAGAGCTTTCTCTGTCGCGGGTCCTAAACTGTGGAACGAACTTCCAGTCACAGTTCGACTGGCATCCACCGTGGCAGATTTTAAGTCTAGACTAAAGACACACTATTTTACCCTTGCTTTTAACAGTTAGCTGTTAGTTTGGCTTTTACTACTCTTTATTTTATCTTCCATTTGTAAGGTTTCATTGGTACTTTTTTATCGGCTTGTCTTTTTTTTATTATTGTTGGCTGTATTTTATAGTACTGTTTTATGTTTTTATCTCTATTATTGTGCGACTGTTCAGCACTTTGGTCAGCCGTATGGCTGTGTTTTTAAAGAGCAAGTCACCCCCAAATAAACTTTTTTTTGCTGATAAACTAAATAAACGAGTGTCTAATCGTGCTGCAGACACGTGTCGTCAATAATTTGGCACTTCGGTGCATCTTAGTTAAAATTTAAATATTCTGCCTCAAACTGGCAGTGTTGTGCCGTTGTCAGGTAAAAACTCTGCACTGTATTTTAATTTAAATCTGCCACCGCTATTGGCTAAGAAGTATGCTATGATGTCACAATGCTGTCGTGAGCCCGAGTGTGTGTATTTGTTAGCAGCTCCGCCCTCTCGGTCTGCCAGGCAACAGCATTTGTTGCATTTTTCAAACATCAAGTGGGAGTGGAGTTAGACTCTGGTAGGGGTTGACTTGCTCTTTAAAGTGCTATATAAATAAAGGTGGTGTGTTATGGTATAAATGTTCCATTAATGAGACTAGAAATGATTAAAAGTTTAGTGAACTATTTGATTCTAAATTAATGTTGCTGATTGTTTTTTCTTGTAACTAGATTGTATAATACTTTACTACTATACTACTAATACAGTTTATATTAGTAATAGTATAAGTGTCACTTGCCACCTTATATTCTCCAACAGGTGGCAGAATACTTGTACAGGACTCATTCCTGTAAAGCTTTGAGGAAAGTAATAAAGTTATTGAGCTCCCTATGTTTGACATTTGAAGTTACCCTTGAAGGAATTAGAAAGTCACTGCCTTTTTGTTCTTTATTAGCCATAAATATATCACAATTATGCCTAAGAGCATGAACATATACAAAAAATGTAGAACTGAAGACTTAGTACAAATATCACCTTCCACCTTTCATGTTGAAAGTTTTAATTTAGGATCATCTTATTCAATTCAATTCAATAATACTTTATTAATCCCAGAAGGAAATTATGTTAAGAAACTGGGGTTTTTGTTCTTTTTTTGTCAAAAAAAGAACAAAAATAATATTGTGAAATTGCACACTGATCTGTTAGCATGTGAAGCAACACCACATTTTAGGTCAGCATCACTAAAACTGACATAGCTGTAGCCATGTTTGTGTTTATTATTGTTTATTAGCTATGTCGGCCATCTTGAATTGAGATTCATTAAAGGGACTTTTGAATTTTTATGCTCGTGATCGCCCCCTCAGGCCAAAAGCGTAACGGCAGCTTCAATAGTGGGCTCGTGCACGAGGCGCGCATGCTGTACGTGCACACTCCTTAATGAAAATAACAGCTGAGACAGTCCCGTGTGTGTGTGTGTGTGTGTGTGTGTGTGTGTGTGTGTGTGTGTGTGTGTGTGTGTGTGTGTGTGTGTGTGTGTGTGTGTATGTGTGTGGCCCGGAGGACAGAGGACAGGAGGACGCGCAGCTAATTAATTAAATAATTTGGCTCTGTACCTTTCTCTTCAGCACAGCCGACAAAGGTTTATGATGGGTCAGTCCTCCTGCATGCTCAGATCATTCCCTTCCCTTGCTTGAAAAATTGTTCCAAAATGAAAGTTGAACCCACATCTTTTTTATCTGTGAATTCAATGCCGTTGGGCGAGTCTCAAATAAAAATTTGGGCATCTTACTGTAAAAAATATACCATTAATGTAAAAAAGAAACTCTAAATGAACTATGTTCACATCCAGAATCAAACCCAGGTCTTCTGCATGAGAGTCAGACATCTTACTAAGTGAGCTACACTCTAGTAACATTCATAGTATCTGTAACATTTATATCCTTGATGACAGCTGAAACAACGTTCAAAGAACGGTTCAGAGCGAAAATGGCTACTTTGTTGCCAATTTGCAGGAAATATCTAGAAGAAAGTTCTACAGAAAGTAGCTAAGGGTCCTCAGAAATGTAGCTAGCTTTGTCACTAGACGTTAGGAACAGCGACAAAGTGGCACTGCCTCTCTCTCTGCTGCTAAAGCTACGGATAGCAAATGCTACGGGCGATGCCTGAGCGTGAACGCGCATGAAGCAGCCTGCTCGACCCGAGCATCTCTCTTTTTCTGTGATTTTACAGAAAAACAGGCAATCACAGTAAAAATCCCAGTGCTCATTCTACAGGACCAGGGTATTGCAAGAGAATGTATGAAGAAGAAATTTATTATTTCTATACATGTTTTGGCTGTCACACTTCCATAATGTCCCTTTAAAATTCGTCCAATTGGTTTTGAGATGACTTTCTAATGAACACAAGCAGAGACTACATTAAAAAAGGCACCACTATCATAAAAGACAGGTAACTCTCTGTCCACTAACCATTGTTGCGATAAGATTCTTACAAAACAAGCTGCTGTTGTTTTTCTTTTTTACCTGGAGCTGCTTTTCAGAGCCTGAGCCTCATCCAGAACCATGTACTGCCACTTGACCCTCTGGAAGTACTTGACGTCTTGGACCACGAGCTGGTAACTCGTTATCACCACATGGAAGGGTGCGTTTTGTGTGTAGAGAGTTTTCTACATCAATAAAAGTGTAAAGGGAAAGTTACAGACTAGAGGAAAAGGAAAACAACAAAACGCTTACTCAACCCGTCCCTACCTGGCTCCAAAACTTCCGAATCACTTTTCGATCGTGAGGATTCCCCCAGTAAGGCAACACCTGGAGAACACGTCGGTAAAAGGTCAAAAATCAAACTAAACCTCTCCAACAGGCCCCCATAAAGTGATCAGTGTGAGAAAAAGCACAAAAATGGTGATGTTCTCAGAGGAAACGTGTAGGAGCGGCATCAGCTATGAATCACTGGCTGACTTGCAGATTTTCACATCACTATATCGCTCAACATGAGCTGGCAGCCCATTGTTTTTCAGTCAGGCTTAACGTTGAGCTCTCAGGAAGCTTATCTTTGAATTGTGAAATTGGGTCTTTTCGCACCTCATTAGCAAAACAAACTGCGATTGATTTATGTCCAAACTTTTAGAGGAAGTGGGCACAGCTGAGTGTTGAGCACAACAGAGTTATGAATATCATAAGAGCGTATGGTGGGAGCAGCTCACAAATTGATGTGCTCGATAACTGATTTAAAGCTCTCAGACAGGCAGTCAAAGGCCAGTTAAAGCATACATAAAGAATATTTATAAAACAGACACTAAAACAGACTTAAATGTAGCTTTGATGCAACACTGCCCCCTAAAGGAGGGTTCTAGACATGCTTATGGCAGAAAAAGAAAAATACAGTTTTTTCAGATGCTCACCTTGAACTTGGGCACAAAGCGGCTGAATTCCTGATGCCAGTTGTTGAGTGTGGACGCTGGGGAGATGATCAGGAATGGACCCCAGATGTTGTCCCTCTGCAGAAAGGGAAAGCAGATCAGAATATGGGCTACTTTAGCAGCTAGTCTTTGTACATTAAAGTAGCTTTACGGAGTTTTCCCCTTTCACAAATTATGTATGATTTTTCAGAAACTCCTCTCATCTCTCTGAGCGCTCCTTTTCTGTGGCCGGCTCCAAGTTTAGGTCCTCCACCTCCTCCCTTACCCATGGTGTCCCACAAGGTTCTGTACTGGGGCCTCTGCTCTTCCTCCTCTATCTGCTTCCTCTTCAGCACATCCTGAGCTCCTCCAAAGGAATCTCCTACCATCTTTATGCAGATGACATCCAACTGTACATCTCCTTTAAGCCCCATGAGATGTCTAAGCTGCAGCTGTTACACACCTGCTTAGACTCTATCAGAACCTGGATGGCTGGGAGCTTTCTTCAGCTGAATGAAGATAAGACTGAGATCCTCATCTGTGCCCCAGACAAGCTGGTTCCCAAAGTCAGAGACTCTCTTGGTCAGCTTGCTTCTCACACCAAACCTTCCATCAGGAATCTTGGCGTGACCTTTGACCCAGCTCTCACCCTGGATTCTCATGTCAGTTCTCTTGTTCACTCTTCCTTCTTCCATCTCAGGAACGTTGCTAAGCTGAGTCCCATTCTGTCCCGCTCTGAACTTGAGACAGTTCTCCACACCTTCATCTCCTCACGCTTAGACTACTGTAACTCTCTTTTCACGTGTCTGAGCAGAACCTCCCTGAACCGTCTACAGGTGGTTCAGAACGCCTGTGCTCGGCTTCTGACCAAGTCCTCCAAACACACCCACATCACCCCGCTTCTCCTCCAGCTTCACTGGCTGCCAGTCAACTTCAGGGTTCATTTCAAGATCCTTGTTCTGGTCTATAGGGCCTTACATGGACAAGCACCATCTTACATTGGTGATCTTCTTAGTCCCTACACCCCCAGCAGGTCCCTGAGGTCCAGTGATCAAAGCCTACTGGTTGTGCAGCACCAGGCTGAAGACCAAAGGTGACAGATCCTCTGCTGCTGTGGCCCCCAGACTCTGGACCTCTCTCCCCCTGAGCCTGAGATCAGTGGACTCAGTGGTCTCCTTTAAAAAGCAGCTGAAGACTCACTTGTTCAAGCTGGCTTTTGTATGACCTTCTTCACCTCTCTCTCTTTATTCTGCTCTCCCACCTATTCCACCTTCCTCAGGATCCACTGATTTCCCTCTTTCCTGTTCACTCTCTCTCTTTCTTAACATTTTTTAATCACAATTATCTATTTTTTGCTCATTTAAAAAATATTTTTAACCATTTTCAATTTTTTTTTAAATATTTTTACATTTTTTGTTTTTGTGAAGCGCCACATGATTTTTATCTTGAGAGGCGCTCTAGAAATGATATTTTCTTCTTCTTCTTCTTGTCTTATCATATAATGTAAGCAATACGCCTTTTATTTTTTACTAAGCACGTCCCCTGCCCCGCAGAGCTCCGTGCAATAAGACACTGAGCGCCGACCAGAACTAACCGATGTGCAGTTTTTGCTGTGTTGCTGCACACTAGGCTTGGGCAGCATTACCGTATTACCGTTTACAGCCGGTGTTAAAAAATAGCAAAAGTGTCAGTTCCAATACCGTAATGAAAAAGAGCAGGGGAGACAACCAAAGCAGGTTTTCAGCAGTCGGTCCGCGACGTCCTAGTTTGAAGCTGGAAAAGGTAAATATGCTCATTTTTCAAGCAAAAAATATTTTTACAAGCTGTGTTTTTTTTAAGTTGTTAATATTATGTGTGTTGTGTTGTTGTTTCAGTAATATTTTTTGTTATTTAGTTTCTAAACAGTGATGGTCCAAACTTGAGGCTTATGTCATCATTTTTTAACTGATCCCGGTGATACCGTCCACCTTGGTAAAATGTGGATACAGTTGGACGGTATTGAAATTTGGATAATGCCCAAGCCTACTCCACACCACACTCATTAGACCCAAAACTGATAGATCTAAGAACAGCAGACACGTTACATTTCAAAAGCTCTTTGACCTCCATGACCCGGCTCTCACCTCTGCTAGGTGGGCCAGCAGGGCGATGCTCTGAACCGTCTTCCCCAGTCCCATTTCATCTGCCAAGATTCCATTAATTCCCTGAAGAAATTAGAAGAAAACAAAGGAGAAAAACAAATCAGTCATATGATGAGGTGACTTACTTGCGCGCCAAAAAAACACTCAGAGAAGGTTGCTAAACTAAAGTTGTGCTTTTGAGTGATGTTGACCCCGTGAACCATGATGACCATCATATTGTGTTCCCAACTTAACTCAAGCCGTCTAAAATCGGATTAAAACGACAACTCACTTTAAGACATAAACCTTATGTCAGCTCAGCTGTGAAATAAACTCAGACCTTAAAGGGACTTTTGAATTTTTATGCTCGCGATCGCCCCCTCAGGCCAAAAGCGTAACGGCAGCTTCAATAGTAGGCTCGTGCACGAGGCGCGCATGCTGTACGTGCACACCCCATAACGAAAATAACAGTTGAGACAGTCCTGTGTGTGTGTGCGTGCATGTGTGTGTGCATGTGTGTGCGTGCGTGTGTGTGTGCATGTGTGTGCGTGCGTGTGTGTGTGCATGTGTGTGTGTGTGTGTGTGTGTATGTGTGTGGCCCGGAGGACAGAAGACAGGAGAACACGCAGCTAATTAATTAAATAATGTGGCTCTGTACCTTTCTCTTCAGCACAGCCGACAAAGGTTTATGATGGGTCAGTCCTCCTGCATGCTCAGATCATTCCCTTCCCTTGCTTGAAAAATTGTTCCAAAATGAAAGTTGAACCCACATCTTTTTTATCTGTGAATTCAATGCCGTTCGGCGAGTCTCAAATAAAAATTTGGGCATCTTACTGTAAAAAAATATACCATTAATGTAAAAATAAACTCTAAATAAACTATGTTCACATCCAGAATCAAACCCAGGTCTTCTGCATGGGAGTCAGACGTCTTACTAGGTGAGCTACACTCTAGTAATTTATAGTATCTGTTACTTTTATATCCTTGATGACAGCTGAAACAACGTTCAAAGAACGGTTCGGAGTGAAAATGGCAATTTTGTTGCTAATTTGCAGGAAATATCTAGAAGAAAGTTCTACAGAAAGTAGCTAAGGGTCCTCAGAAATGTAGCTAGCTTTGTCACTAGGCGTTAGGAACAGCGACAAAGTGGCACTGCCTCTCTCTCTGCTGCTAAAGCTACGGATAGCAAATGCTACGGGCTATGCCTGAGCGTGAACGCGCATGAAGCAGCCTGCTCGACCCGAGCATCTCTCTTTTTCTGTGATTTTACAGAAAAACAGGCAATCACAGTAAAAATGCCAGGGCTCATTCTACAGGACCAGGGCATTGCAGGAGAATGTATGAAGTAGAAATTTATTATTTCTATACATGTTTTGGCGGTCAAACTTCCATAATGCTCTTTTAAGTTTTGGTGCATTTTTAAATTTGTAGGAAAAAGGTTTTGTGCGTTTATAGACGAAGACAGAAAACCCACAGGGGTTTCTGCTTTCAGACACACACACGGATACCTGTTCATAGAGGTTGGCCAGCCAGTTCATCCCTTTGAGCTGGTAACCCTTGAGTTTTCCATTGAAGATGGTGGGCTGGGGGATGTCGTCTCCAGCTTGAATCGACGGATTTGCGAGGCTGTAGCTTTCTCCGAACCCAGATCTGATTCCTGACGATGAGCTGCCAGCTGCGTGGAAAGAGGCGCTGCGGCTGTCTTTGGCTTCCTCGTCAAACATTCTCGTCTATGTGACAAGATATTTAGGAGTTAAACGCCGTGGAGAGGAGTTCTTGTGTTACATTAGGATGTTGGGCACAACTTACTCTGTCCTGATGAATCTGATAGGCTTCTCTGGCGTTCCTCAAGGCCTGAGTTTTGTAGTATTCACTATCTATGATCACATTTTTTGTAAAAACACAGCGAATTAGGTTGCACTTGGGACTTTAGGAGATCATCCTCTTGTAACCATTAGAAACCCAAGTATGAGACATCCATAAAGACTCATACCGTACTCCTCCTGACCCATGTTGATCATTACTCCTCCTCCAACATCTATTTGCCGATGGGCTGTGTTGTCTTCCAGCTTTTTCAGAATCTCCTCCTGAGCAGCATCTCCTCCTGGACTGGCTTTGCCGCTCATAAAATGAGCATAAAGCTCCGTCTGGGTGATGAGAAAATTGAGTTTGCGCTGCTGACGCTTGGCCTGTGAAGAAGAAGAAGAAAAAAAGGGGGGATTTATCATTTAGGTTTTTCAGTATAAAAAAGGTTCGCGGCCGAGTGTGAAGCGGCTGGGATGAGGATCAGCACCTCCAAATCTGAGACCATGGTTCTCGACCGGAAAAGGGTGGCTTGCCAACTCCGGGTCGGGGGAGAGGTCCTACCTCAAGTGGAGGAGTCTAAGTATCTCGGGGTCTTGTTCACGAGTGAGGGTAGGAGGGATCGGGAGATCGACAGGCGGATTGGTTCGGCGTCTGCAGTGATGCGGACGCTGAGCCGATCTGTCGTGGTGAAGAGGGAGCTGAGCCAGAAAGCCAGGCTCTCGATTTACCGGTGGATCTACGTCCCAATCCTCACCTATGGTCATGAGCTTTGGGTAATGACCGAAAGAACGAGATCGCGGATACAAGCGGCCGAAATGAGTTTCCTCCGTAGGGTGGCCGGACTCAGCCTTAGAGATAGGGTGAGGAGCTCGGACATTCGGGAGGGACTCGGAGTAGAACCGCTGCTCCTCCTTGTCGAAAGGAGTCAGTTGAGGTGGTTTGGGCATCTGGTCAGGATGCCTCCTGGACGCCTCCCTGGGGAGGTGTTTCGGGCATGTCCTGCCGGCAGGAGGCCCCCGGGTCGACCCAGGACACGTTGGAGAGGTTACATCTCCAATCTGGTCCGGGAACACCTTGGGGTCCTGCCGGAGGAGCTGGTGGAGGTGGCCGGGGAGAGGACGGTCTGGAGCTCCCTAGTTGGGATGCTGCCCCCGCGACCCGGACCCGGATAAGCGGAGGAAGACGACGACGACAGTATAAAAAAGAACCCGAACTTGACGGACCTCTCTCATCTCTTCGTCTAGCTTCCGTTGCTCCAGAGCTTCCTTCTCCGCTCTCTTTCTGTGCTCTTTTTCCACCTTGTCGTACTTCTTCCAGTAGAGCATCATCTCCTTGGTGAGACGCCGTGCGCGGGGCAGCGTCTCTTTGCAGTTCTTCTGAGCCTGAATGGCTGCACGCCGGACCTCTCGCATGCACTGGTGGGCCAGCTGGAGAGAAAGGACAGCTCTTACACTCACAGTTCATCTCCACCGCTCAATAACGTCTACGGCTATTTACCTTTTTCACATTAGTGAGTACCAAGTTCTTAGCAGAGGTCTTCTGTTTGAAAGACTGTAAAAAAAAACACGACATAAAATCAACCTTCTTTATATAAACACAACAAAGTAGTCCAAAATTTAGAAAAACGAACCTTTGGAATCTCCTTTTTGGCGATGGTGTGCCACACTTTGCGCCGCCGTGCGTTCAGCTGCTCGATGGTGAGGTGCTTTTTCTTCACCATAGGTAGTGGAGCATCATGGGAAAACTTAGCAAAGATCTTGTTAACATAGGGACGCTCCTCATCCAGGTACTCTCCCTCTCCTCTTTTCTTCTTCTTCTTGACTTTTCTAAGTTTGGCTAGAAACAGACAAAGGTAATTAAGGTGTGCTTTCCTGCAGAGACGTGATTAGAGCTGGAGGTTTCCATACCCTTAAATTTCTTCTCATCCTTGATTTTCTTTTTCTTCGGGCCCAGCAGGTGGCGCTGTTGCTCGTAGAAGTGGTCCTGAGTGGACAGGAGGCCTGTGCTGTAGTACTGATACTGGTAAAGCTGAATGAAAAAGCACAAAAACGAGCTTCATCTTTTTGTGTATGTGGCATTAGCGGACGGCGTGTGTAAATGCGAGCGGGCTTCTACCTCTCGGTCGGAGTAAAACTTGCTCTGCTGCAGCCTGGTGTGACGATGCATCCTCAGCATGTCGTGCAGCTCCTCTCGAGACAAACTAAAGCTGGAATCGTCAGAATCCGTGTCAGAATCTGTGGTGTCATCGCTCAACAGGATGCTCTGCAGGAGACAAGAGGAGGTAGAACAGCCCTGACCTGCTTCAAATAAAATGATGAGCGGGGAGAATGTGTGAATGTAACACACCTTGAGCCACTTCCTGCTCTTTTTCAGCTTAGAGAAGTTGTAGAGGCTTGTTTTGTCTGCTTTTTGATCTGTTTGAATTCAACAGAGAAGCACAAACTAAGTAACCAGTTAAGATCGGCAGCTTTAATAAAGATAAACCAAACTTTATGTGAAGCTTTTCTAGATTCTAACCAGTGTTGGGCAAGTTACTTCAAAACTGTAATGCATTATTTATTACTTGTTACCCTCATTTTAAAGTAATTCATTACATTACAATGTTACTGATTTTAAAATGTAAGGCATTACACTACTTTTGCATTACTTTAAGTTACTTTCACCAAAACAACTTTAGTATGAATCTGGTCATGTGACGCTCAGTGAGCTCATGACATATATGTGGAAGGTGATGTGGTGTCTGAGCTAGGATTGCTGTTAAAAACAGTCAGATATAATAACAGTGCTTTAAAATGATTGTTTATTAAATAAAAACAACAACAATCTGTACTCTCAGCACGCTGCCATCTTATATTAACTGAGCAGGGAGTGAGGTGGTGGGGGCTCCAAGCCTATATTTGCCTTGGTCCCCAAATTTCTTGATACGGCCCTGGATGTGGGACTGACTTCTGGTGTGATCTGATTCTATCACATGTATAAATATTAAATGCTTATATATTATTGCTTTTCAACGGTAAAAATGTGTGTTGGGGATAAATCTACCTACTTTGTTGTCTTGATTTTATTTGAATAATGAGTTGAAATCACCGGGGCACCGATTATGAACTCAGCTGAAAAGTACATGAAGTACCAGAGAATATGGGCTGATATAAACGATCGCAAACGAATGACTTTGTTTCGGTGGAGCAATTTTGTGAATATTACAGCGGCCGCACGCAGGACGAAGAGTATTTGAGCCGTTACCGCTGCGTCCTCTCTGCTCATAGAACGCCATAAATGACGTCATATATGTGGATACTGGATCTTTTTTCAGGCTTCCCGCAATTTGAATTTTTAGGAAACCCACATCTTGATTCTGGGTTTAAAAATGCATTGTAATTACCGCGTTACTGACACTTGTACCGAGTAAATATTACCATTTTCTTTCCCTGTAATGCCTTACATTACCACATTACAGCAAAAAAGATATGCATTACAGTAATTAATTACTTTTGTACCGCGTTACTCCCAACACTGATTCTAACACACCTTTCCCCTGCAAAAGCACCCCGTTTAAGGGTTTGCCCTCGAGCAACCCGTTTTCTTGTTCACTCGGCTCACTCTTCACGGATGCAGCTGCGTGGTGAGCGGAGGAGTCCTGGGGAAGTCCCGCTCCCAGCGACCCATCACTATCATCACTGCACCAGAAAAATCCATAAATAACTGATGAAAACACGTACTTTTGAGTAAATGTTACAGTTTAGTCACGCACATTCAACACTCCCTGTACCTGGTTATGTCTCTGTTAAAGACAGCAGCCGTCTGCCGCAGAAAGTTGTCCAACTTCAGGGATCTTTCCAGGCGCTGCATATAGAGAGGCTTGGCCAGGCCAGAGCCCCCCGATGCCCTGACCTCCAGCTGGCCATCTTGTCCTGACGCCATGCACAACCAACTCCTCTGCCTGGAGAGGCGGGACCTTTTTACTGAAGAGAAAGACGAATGATCGGATTAAAAAAGGCAGTAAAAGTTAACTCTGGGATGCTTCTGAATAAATGTTTCAACTGGAAATAAGAAATGTTTATGTCGAGGCAATAAACAACAAGAGTTGTCATGATAACAAAATGTTCATTCAGTCCAAATACTCTCATCCCTGGACTGACCTACACAAACTCACCTCCTTAGCGAACAATGGCATCGTGCTTGTTTCAGATAAATGGCCTCACGAAAAGTGAAAGAGCCTAAAAAAAGGAAAACCCAGTTACTCCCTGACAAAATGCTGATCAGACATCAAATACACAACAGAGTGGGTTCCTCTTCTTACAAATGTTTGTCACGTTTATTGAGCACATCCTACAGATGTTTCATTAGACTGCCATGTGGAGGACTTGGATTTTAGTCAAGCCCTCACATAGTGTCACTTCCTGCACCGTTCATCTGTGGCATTATTATGTTTATGTATTTAGCAGCTTGTATTCAGTAGCTTTTGTCCAAAGCAACTTACAGGTCGGTACCATTATTCCACCTGGAAATGTGCGATGCAATCGAGAAATTCTGTTTCTAGGAGAAAGGTGCACAATGTCTTGCATGTTTCAGATGCCGCTTTGCTCCAAAACACCTGATTGGGTGCTTGAATTAGCAGTCCAACATGTCGCCATGTTCAGCAAAATCCTGTTAATCGCCCATTTATCCTAATGAGTTGTAATGAAGCAGGAAATCATCTACATACAGGACGGTGGCCCTCCAGGACCAGGATGGGACACCACTGGTGTTCACCCTGAGCAACACTGTTTAGGTTGGCGTAAATAGGATGTTGGTGTTCATTTTATATTTTATGAACCACTGCACTGGCTTTAACCTATTAACTGCCATTGATGACTAAAGTCGTCATTTGCATTTTTTTTACTGTGTGGGCGTCGGAACGAGCCCCCCACACCGTGAGAACAAACATCCCAGCTCTAAAGCCGATCTTCATCCGCGTTTGTCACACGTCACGTGATCAGGAAGCAGAAAATCCACGTGTTAGGAGATCGTTTTGGGCCGCTGCTGTGAAAAAAGTGAGGCGCGAACCGCAAAAGCTTCTGCCGATGAAAATTGGACAACGGATTATGAAAGAGCAGATAACACTTGAAACACGCGGATTATTCCTGATGTACGAGGTGAGTCTCCTCTTTGTTTTGGCAGCTTGGGCGTTGACATTATCATAGAGCGCAACGTTCTGTAACTCTTAAAAACACTGTGAAAAGGCTAAAAAACGCTGGCAGCGAACGGCTTTTCTGATCAGGAAACGGCTGGCAGTTAATGAGTTAATAAAAACTCTCAGAAAGTATTAGAGGAACATCTACAACTACACTTCTTTTGGACTGAACCCCATTTGGGATGACCACAACAGAAGGGAAAAGGGATAGACGATAAATCAGTCGGTTGATATTTATCATTTTTATACATCAGTCTTGGCCGATTTACCTCTTAGTAGAGCCGATCATCTGTGTGCACCCTGGGTCTGCTGCAAAATTGTATTTAAATGCATATTTATGTTCCTGAAAACATATCTGGAGGTTTCACCCTTTCAGGAATTGTGTGGTTCTTTTTGGAAATCCACAAAAGTGATTGTCTGTAACGTGATATAATAGCGTTAGATATCACAGTCAGAGCGTGCACGTGTTTGCTGAACTACCTAGACCAGGGGTCACCAACCTTTGTGAAGCTGAGAGCTACTTAATGGGTACTGAGCCATACATAAAGCTACCAGGTTGATACAATACTGACCTTTGAGCTAGAATTAATCAAGAGTTAAAATAACTTTGTGTATTGTAAATATATTTTAAGGTTTTTTAAGGAAAATTTGAGTTTTTAATTCGATATTTATACATTTTTAGTAAAAAAGACAGTGTTTATTTTATTTTATTAGAGACTTATACAGAAAAGGCCTGTTTGCACCTTATATGGTCACTGTGCCAGGCCTAGACTGATGCAGAGTTGACAAGTACATCTCAACCCATCTTTAACTCTGTAACAAACATTTTTTCAGCTACAGCAGCTTTTCCTTTTTACATTTATTACAAAGGACAACACATTTTAATGGGAAAATGTTTTCTTTATCCTCTGTTATGCTTTTGTTGAGATTACTCCAGCACACGGTGAGGCAAAAGACTGCATAAAACTTCTATCGTGTTTAACCCACAACCGGATGTTTTCTATAACAACTTTATCTTGCTACCTTATAAATAATCCAATGCTCACTTAAAGTGACAATGTGTAGTTTTTACCATTAACTCATTCACTAACAGCCGTTTCCTGATCGCCAACGGCCTTCGCTGCCAGCGTTTCTCACCGTTTTTACTGTTTTTTTAAGAGTCACAGAACGTTGCATGCCAGCATGATGTCAGCGCTAAAACAACCAAAACAAAGCGGAGACTCACCTCTTACATCAGGAAGAATCTGCGCATTATCCATTCTTTCATAATCCGTTGTCGAATTGTGATTGGCAGATGTTTTTCCGGTTCGCGCCTCACCTTTTTTACAGGAACGGCCCAAAACGATCTCCTAACACATGGATGTTCTGCTTCCTGATCACGTGACGTGTGACGCATACTGATGAAGATCGGCTTCAGGGCTGAGATGTTTGTTCTCTCAGCGCGGGGGCTAGTTCTGATGCTCAAACAGTAAAAAAAAAATGCAAATGACGACTTTAGTCGTTAATGGCAGTGAATGAGTTAATCTCTGAAACTATCCAAAAAATGTTGAAAATGAACTAAATGATGCCCAGGTGTTGTAAAATATTGGCGACTTCGTAATATATACACTACATGGGAGCGAGTTTGTGCGTTCCAGATGTCCTCGGAACTCGGAATTTCCGAACAGGAAATGGCGTAACGGGCCCGTTTTGTGTTCCAGCTTCCAACTCGGGAAAAATGGATGCCCACTAGGGCTGTCGCGGTAACCGCAAAAATGAAATATCGCAATATGAAGAAGCCCACCGCGCTGCATCATGGGCCACCGCGATTACTGAACTTGGTTCAACTCAATGATGCATGTTGAGAAGGATGGTTGCACTGGTATCAACACGAAACGTTACTTCGCTCCTTTGGGAGCACTTTGGTTTTCAGTACGTAAGCTGCTGCGCAGCCAGAGTCCTTGGCCGAGACAGAGCTGCCACCAGCGGCAAAATAATAATAATAAACGCTCGGAGACCTGCTGAAGTCCCGGACAAGCACTGCTTCTGCAACCGTCCCGAAGAGAGTTTGAGCCGAGCTGGAGCTCACTCGCTACCTGTAGGAGGAATGCATCCACCCTAAAGAAACCCCCCTGACATGGTGGAGCAACAACCGGGAGAGATTCCCTTTGCTCGCAAGAGTCGCACGTAAGTACGTGTGCGTTAGTGCAACGAGCGCACCATCCGAGAGGGTTTTCAGTGTTGCTGGAAATGTTGCCACCCCTCTCAGATCCTCTCTCAAACCGTATATGGTTAACATGCTGGTTTTCCTTGTGGGTAACAAGGACGTGACCGAGCTATAAATCACCGTCATTCGTGTGTGTGAAAGTGAAATGATAGTGCGCCCGGTACATGTAATTTTTTATGCTTGATTTTAAACAACTAAACAAAATGGGGACTTGTTTCTTATTTGTTAGATGCTGCAGCCAAATTTGCATTTAAAAGTTTAACCTCCTGAATTTTGTTGTTTTTAAGTTCAGTCGGACTCCGACTGTCGGAGAAACAAACGTTACTGCAATCTGTGTTGTTACTGCCCTTTGATCTGCATTCAGTAAAGAAGGCACGGCAATTTTTAACCTTTTTTAAATGTGTAAACATTATGTTTAGATAGTACTGCAATAAAAAGAAAATGCTGCAATAATATCGCATACCGCAGTATTAAGCCACCCTGAATCACCGCAGGGGGAATTCCTCAACAGCGACAGCCCTAATGCCCACCAATGTTGTTGAGTACTAATTAACCGGTAAAATTATATAACCAAGTATTTTCTCCATCTAAATAATTGGGACACTTCGATAGTTGTCAAAGACAACCAGAAAAACATTAAAAATCAAATGTAAAAATATTAACGCCAGTAATGGTAAAACCATAAACACTGGTCAATTTTGGCAGCAATGTTAAATTTTTCAACAACGTAACTATTGACAACAATAAAATACTTAGTGCTGTTAAATAGCAAAAAGAAAGAAAGCAGAACATATAAATGAGAAAAAAAAGGCTAACTTATCTCGGAAAAACGAGTTCAGAGGACAACTGGAACGCACCATGTCTCTAGGCAATGCCATTTTTCCTTCTACGGGAGCCCGTGAGGACAAAACACATTTACAGATACAAAACTTTCAGCATTCATAAATATTGTTTTAAACATTTACCTCTTCACTCATTGCCAGTGATCAAAGGGAGTCTGATGGGCTTGTCATTTAGCTGGAGGTTAAACAATTTGACAAAATACTCTTTCAAACATTGCACTCCCAGGGATTTTTTTACCCAAATTGCCATCCATTGGCAAGGTCTTACTCGAACAAAGAATGCTGCTTGCTTGCAATGATTTAGGTGTGTACTGGCCCCATCACCAGGGAATATACACACACTATCACTTTAAGAGTTCCTTTTTGGAACGAAAGTCCCAAATGGATAGTTCGTATCAAAAGGGTTATTTTCTTATGCCTTTGTTTCATCCTTGGTCTCCCTCAGCTTTGATTCATGGATCATTATTCAGCTAGAGCCAATGATATGAGCTAATACTATGAACTCCAGGTCAGCTTCAAACCCCCATTATCTGCAGCCAATATCATAAAATTCAGAAATGAAAATACCCACAATAATCAAAAGGTTCCAATGACTTAAATTGGGTCATATCTGTACTTTTGTCCTGGTGTTGTCACTTTTTAAAGTCAGGGTTTCCCTTACATAGGCGTAGCCGTGGCGGCCCACCATGGCTGAAATCCCACCGCCACGCCTACAAGATCCCAGGGTTTTTTTGGCGCTGTTTCCCGAAGAATCTATGTTCTTTAAACTGAGGATGCACCACATTGCAAGATTAGCAACTCTTAGCTTTGAGTGTGACAGCGTGAGACAGAAGCTCACAAAAGCTGTCCTTTTCAAAGGTCAGTAGGAAATCACAATGTGCTTTAGCATCTGTCTTAGATCTGTTACTTTTATAATCAAAAACATTTATAATCTGTAATAAACAAGTTTTTCATAACTGTCTGTCATTCATTTACTCTTTAATTTTTGAAGTGTTTATTTAGCTCTTTACTTTAACTCACAATTATCCCAGTTTTCTCAAACTTTCATTTTAAATTGGTTGCAGGCTGAAAGTGGAAATAAATATAAATTATTATAATAACTTGCCAAAGCAAGTATATATTAGGTTCATATTACTTGCAAATATTAAAGTCAAAGTAAATAAAATATATTCTGTATATCTTCATTTGTCTTTTTTATAAAATATATTCTCAGTCATTGAGGTTCTAAAGTTGTTTTGTTTTTTGGACTGGGTGTTTTTACTTTAAATTTTGTTTGCTGCTTCTGTGTATTTTTTGTTTGTTTGTTTGTTTTACTAATTTCTGTAAATGAAATCAGGTATTTGAGTTTGTATTTATAAGTTGATAAGTTATAAGGTACCTTAAAACGTATATTTATAAGTTGACCTCAGTTTACAAACTACAGCTAGTTCATCAGAAGCAGCTCTTGTTGACATTAAAACGGTAAGTCTATGGGAAATTGACAGGATAGGGGGAAACGGCTGGAAAGTGGAGTGAAATAAGGGGAGATTCCTGCCAAAACTGATATATTTCATAGCCACGTCTCTAATGTTTCTAAAAAATAAAACCGTATGAAAATCGGTTGAAAATTGAGAAAGTTACGAGTTGTTAAAATAGTGCATGCACCACTAAACCCGTGTTGATGAGGGCAGTTGTCCGAAGTAAGATGGCCGCCGCGTACAGACGTCAGGGGCCACTGACGAACGGCGCGGGCGAGGGATCTAGCTAACATATATGAACCTTCGTAGCTTAATAGCTAACAAGCTAACGACCGTTAGCTGCCCACTCATCAGTGATAGTATGGGTCAATGTGTTGGTGCACACACACTTCCAACAGCTGTCTGGTTTAGGAAATTTCTTGAATAAACTAATGATAGACCTCAGCAGCAGTGACTTTTAGTTATCTAAAAGATGTTTGTACTAAAGAATATAATAACGCGGTTTACTTATTGAAAAGGCTAGCTAGTTAGCTTATCTGACACGAAGGCGTTCTGCCAAAGACCTCTTCTCAAGCCATAAAAAGTATTCAATCTGCCTGTCTCTTTAAGGCCACCACCTCCTCGTCTAAACAATGTATTAATATATGAGTTTAATAACAGTTTATTAGCTTCCATATGGATACCAAGCAGCGACACAAGAGGCCCTTCGCAAACGCATTTCGTAGCCTTGTAGCGGACAAGCAGAGGCTCCGTAGCCCGCTGAACGTATGATCCCCATTTTTTATTCTTTCTCCCTCTCGGCCATCGTCTCCATTGCTCCTTCGCCATATCAGCCACCGTATAGTCTCTCACCTCAGCCCCGTGTCCCCCTTTCGGTCCCTCTCGTCGCTGCTGCCGACTCTCGGTTCTCTGACTCCAAAATGGCGGTTTGAGGCACCAGGCGAGTCTGTGAGCTTTGAGTCGGCAGCAGCAGAGAGGCGGCCACTTTCTGTTACTGAGAGCAGAGACACGACGCCATGGCGAGGTTACAGCAAGGAGCAGCCATACTAATCAACTGTAGAGACAGGGACGCATGTTCTCGATGTTGTAAAAGGCAAGGTTGTAACAAAACAAATCAAAGCAATATTTTTTGCTACTTAAGTGAGGTGCGGTCATATCATGTTCAGAAATTTGGAGCCGTTTATTTAAGTATAATGGAAATACGCAACAATTTTCCGATATCTATTGGTAGTGTCTGGATTATGCGGAGATTACCGAGCTACGTCTTACGTCATTACAAGGAAACTCAGCAGAAACGGACTCGCTTTGTTTATATATATATACATATATAGTAAACAACAATGTAAAGGTATATTGTATTGTATTGTATATGTAAATCCAATGTTTATATTATTTTAAACAGAACACTAATATTTATTTAAATATGTTCATTGTTGCTTAAAAACGTGTATCTGTCTATTCATGTGTTAAACAATTTTCCCAAAGTTTTAGCAAAATGTCTTTATTGTGGAAAAAACTGCAATTGTTTTACTTGAACTGTTAAATAAGTACATACCAAACTCAGCAAAGAGCATACATGTGCATGTTATGTTATCAAGGTGGCAGTAAAGCTACCCAAGCTGATGCTGTTAAATAACAGGTTTAGTGTAGTTACATTTACAGAATCATCAGACATTCAAGCACATGGATGCATTATAGTTCTGGAAATATTTGACATTTTCACACTGAATTGGACCAGTTCTCTGCATCAAATTCATTTACCAAGTGTGCTGTTCATTGTAAATACTTCCACTCAAAGTGCAAATTCATTTCATCAGCTTCAAAAACCAACAGCAAAATGAGCAGGATTCAGAAATAGGCACTTCCAACAGGCCATCATGTGACTGTTTCCACTGAATGGGTTGGTCACATGACTGATGCACTTTCCTCTGACCCCACTCTGATCACAGCCAGCTGGATTTTTCTTGTTCAAACTTCTGCGGATCAATGAATGGCTTGTCGATGGACTTGATCATTAGTTCGCCGCAGTAAGCGCACTCAGCCGCAACAATGTCATCGATGTCCGATATTATTTGCTCACGACTTGCTCCCATAGAGCCCTTCCCCAGGCTGGAAGTGTCTCCTTCTTCCTTTAGCGCAGGGCGGTGGCGAGATTTAGTGGACTGCGCTGTTGCAGCCAGCTTTTTCTGAAGCTCTTCAAGGCGATTCTGCTTGAAGGCTGATAAATGAGGCGTCACTTCCTAGAAAATAAGTAAGAAACATATGAAGTGGCACAGTCACCATTTTCTTTCCTCGTGTTTTAAATCTGAAAAATGCTGTTTTAAAGTTTTGTTTACCTGGAACAGGCAGTCATAGTGAAACGCGTGTCCACACAGAAACAAATAAAAGGATCTGTTGAGCAATGGGAAGTCACACGAAGCACACTTTTCTTGGGAATCCACAACACCATACTTGTTCCTCATTTCCTGGATGTCTTCTCTGATTCTTTTAGCGCTCTCTGTGGCCTCCTCCATTTCCTGTTTCAGATCGTCGATGTGCTTGTTGTACTCCTCCAGGGAACTGCAAATGGCCTCCTAAAAGAACCCAGGATGTGCACAAAGCAGTAGATGTTATAAATTATTTTGCAAGCAATTTAAACAAAAACCAGAAGAAAAAAATCAGCGTTCCAGACCTTAAAGTGGTCAATGGTGACAAAGTCGGGAAAGAAAGGCAGGATGTCTTCGATCTTGAGCAGGTTGCAGCTGGACAGACAGTTCATGGCTTTCTTCACATCTTTCTCCTCCTGCACCACATGCCTGGCGATCTTCAGCCAAAGTTTTTTCCTCACCTCCTCGTCGTCCTCGGGCAGGTCAGCGCATCTCTTGGCCAAGTCTACGTCCACCTACGGAGAGCAGAAACAATTAAAAACTGCCCACAGATCGTCGTCGTCTTCCTCCGCTTATCCGGGTTGCGGTGGCAGCATCCCAACTAGGGAGCTCCAGACCGTCCTCTCCCCGGCCACCTCCACCAGCTCCTCCGGCAGGACCCCAAGGCGTTCCCGGACCAGATTGGAGAAGAAACCTCTCCAACGTGTCCTGGGTCGACCCGGGGACCTCCTGCCGGCAGGACATGCCCGAAACACCTCCCCGGGGAGGCGTCCAGGAGGCATCCTGACCAGATGCCCAAACCACCTCAACTGACTCCTTTCCATCCGGAGGAGCAGCAGTTCTACTCCGAGTCCCTCCCGAATGTCCGAGCTCCTCACCCTACCTCTAAGGCTGAGCCCGGCCACCCTACGGAGGAAACTCATTTCGGCCGCTTGTATCCGCGATCTCGTTCTTCCGGTCATTACCCAAAGCTCATGACCATAGGTGAGGATTGGGACGTAGATCGACCGGTAAATCGAGAGCCTGGCTTTCTGGCTCAGCTCCCTCTTCACCACGACAGATCGGCTCAGCGTCCGCATCACTGCAGACGCCGAACCAATCCGCCTGTCGATCTCCCGATCCCTCCTACCCTCACTCGTGAACAAGACCCCGAGATACTTAAACTCCTCCGCTTGAGGCAGGACCTCTCCCCCGACCCGGAGTTGGCAAGCCACCCTTTTCCGGTCGAGAACCACGGTCTCAGATTTGGAGGTGCTGATCCTCATCCCAGCCGCTTCACACTCGGCCGCGAACCTACCCAGCAAGAGCCGAAGGTCAGAGCTGGATGAAGCTAGGAGGACCACATCATCCGCAAAAAGCAGAGACGAGATTCTCCCACCACCAAACTCGACACACTCCACACCACGGCTGTGCCTAGAAATTCTGTCCATAAAGGTAATGAACAGAACCGGACCCGCAGACGTCTAACAAAACTGAGAATAAGCCGTTACTGATGTGTGGAGCAGATGCAGGAGATAGCAGCACTTACTTGTAAAGCTAGATCCACTGCCTCCTCATACAGCTCCATGATCCTGTACACCAGAACGCATGCCTGGAGGTAGCCGTGCTCTGCACACAGCCTGAGGGCATACTTCAGGTCATAGTGGATCTCCGAGGGGTGTGTGCCCGCCTGTTCCAGGTACCACAACAAAGAGTCTGGCTTGTACTTGGCATAAAGCGACAGCAGGTAGTTATGAATGGCCTCCTCCGTCACGTTCAGCTCGTACACGCAGAACTCCATGTAACGGATGGTTTCGTTGATCTGCTGGGTGTTTCCCATCTGGCTATAGTTCATCAGCGCCGGGATGAGCTTCTTTGGATCCAGCCTCTTGCCCATCCTTATCCACGCGTCCACAACGCTTTTGGGAATATTCTGCATGAGCACGGGGGAGAACTTGTAAAACAGCTTTTCATCACAGTGCTTGGCAAGCACGTCCAGAGCTGCGGTGAAGTTGTCATTCTGGCAGTAGTGAGATATCACTCTCTCGTAGTCCTGCATGATGACGGAGAAGTAAACCATGTCGTCCACGTTGCCGTGGCTGGCCAGCAGGTCGTAGGTGGTGCTACGGTTGTTGTACAGGCAGTCCCTGTGTTTGGAGCTGCTCAGGAAGTTGCGGAACTCCTCTCGCGTTTCCTGGAAGATGACGGTGTTTCCGTCGCTCTCCAGCTGCCCGAGGCCGTTCAGGTAGAGTTCGACCAACCAGGTGACCAGCAAGGTGATCTGCGTTCTCTCAGTGGGTTTCAGGTTGTCCAGTTTCTTCAGTAAAAACTCCTTCAAGGCCTCCTCCTGCTTGGCTTCGATAAACTTCAGCGCGATCTCTTCAAAGTAGTTCTGCGTCAGCGCGTAGCACTTGGCACTCTCCAGGTAGCGCTTGTTCTGGAAGCAGTGCTCAGCCTCTCTAGCCAGCACCATGTCCGTGCACTCGGGCCGGTCACGGCAGTACTCTTTGGCCAGATCGAACTTATTCATGCTCATGTACATCTGCCACACATCCCTGGCCTCGCGCTGGATGTGATAGCGGAAAACAGCCCGTTCTGTGTAGATCCACACCAACCCACCCACGGGATCTTTGATCATCCGTTTGAGGGAGCCAAATTTGTCTGGGAACACGTCCTCGTACACCACCTGTCCATTCAGTGTGCAGATGGCCTTAACTCGGTCACGGAGCAGGAGCAGGAAGTGAAACTGCGTCAGCACGATGGAATGGGGTTTGTCGTGAATAATGTCGATGTCCGGAGTGTACTCCCAAACCTGTTTTGATGTGAAAAGGCAGATTTATAGACGTATGAAACAGAAAAGTAGGAAGACAGTTGCACACAAGCAGATATGTACCTGAACGTCACTCAGAAGGGAATCAGGCCTGATGTAGTCCAGCTGACCATACAGAACCCCGTTTCCCATCATCCAGGCGAATGCACTGGGGACGCTCCGCAGCTTCGCTGTGTAGAACGTGATCTCGCTGTACCCCATATTGGCAGGGAACTCCTGAAAACTGGGAAGCAGGTCCTGGTTCTGGTTGAAGATGGAGCTAAAGCCTTGCTGCTCGGACCCTTCAGCTACTTTACCCACAAACTGAAACAGCCGTTTGCGGGTGGTTGCTATGATGAAATATTTGTTTTCTGGACCTCGCTCGACCTCCAAGCAGCAGACTGGTGCAGGTCTGCCATCCTCCTCCAAGGAGTGAACCTACCACAGAAAAAAAATGAATAAATCTAACACAATTCAGTTACATGCAAAGAAATGGGAATAATACATGTTATTTTACTTAATACTTTAAATCTGACCTGTCTAAAGTACTGGTCCGGATTGGTGTTGAACAGACTTCCCTCGATTACGGAGATCTCAGCCTCAAAGATGATGCCCTGACTGGTGCCAACCAGGATGGGTCCTGTGCTGGTCTCATTGCCCAGCAGCTTGTTCCAGCCCACACTCTCGATGAGGTGGCCTCTCCATCGGGACAGACTGCGAACCTTCTGGGTGTTCCTGTTGAGGTACAGACACTCGCTGGTGCTCAGGCTGATCAGTAGATGAAAGCCTGCGGTGGGAACATATGAAGGAGGACATAGCTGTCATTGTATTTCAAATACCGTGACACCAGCACGATTAAAGATATGCATCTGAAGCCAAATTCATGGCATTACAATGAGGAATAGAAGATTGCTGCTTGTCTCACCTGTTGGATCCAAGAACAACCTGTGAACTTTGCTGTCATCTTTCCTTCCTAGTTCAATCTGATTAGGCTGATCTGGTTTGGCCAAGTCAATCCTGCAATATGAATGAATCAACGTGAAAATAACCCAAACAAATGATTAAATCCGACCCGTGTGTGGTGATTTTATAAGAGCAGATCATGCCTTAACAAAGTGTCCTTTCCCAGACTCATGCACAGCTGGTTGCTGCAGACTGCCAAATGGTTTATCTTCTCAGGTGGAGCAAAATCGATCCTCTGTTTGGTAAATATTGGCTTCTCTTCTTCGAGTCTAACATTCACGAAGCCTTGAATGGAAAAAGCATGCTTTAATCAGCAATAACGCCGTTAAAACTAGAAAAAAAAAGACTAAAAGCGCAGCATTTTTGGGAAGTGAAACAGGGCGACCTACCTGAATGCGTTAGGCCGATGTTAGCAGGAGATAGCCGGGTGTGCGGCTGAGAACCTTGTCTCAGGTTCTGAGAGTCCTCATACTCATCGAGAATTGAAGACATAATTAACTCACGTCTTTCAAAACGAAATAATGAATTTAGATAAGTCCCATTAAATTTCTAAAGGGTGGAGAATAGCGACATACCAAAGGTAGTTAGCTAGTGGCTAACTAGCTAACAAAACTAGCAGATTTCCTTCACCCGCATAAACAAAAACTAGCTGTATTTAAAATGCGTTTTAACCTTAACGCACAAGGAAACGTAAAAACAAGTGACACAAATTCGTAATGAGTATCCTATAATTTAGCTCCGGGAACAGCGAGGAGAACCCTCACAGTCAGGTGATATACAAAGTCACGTGATCGCTTGGCTTGGATGCAATTCTCACCACGAGGGGGCGCACGTTTATGAAAATTAGACTTCTACACCTAAAAAGAAAACTAGAATATCAAAAACTGCTTCAATTTAGAATTGATCTGTTTATAACATTCTACAAACCCCTTTTACTTTTTATAAACACGCTCTCCAAATGTTCTAAATTGGACATTTATCATTTTTAATTTGAGTTTTACACCCTTATTTTGAAATAAACTCTAATTTGATTGATAATTTCAAGATGTAACAAATAACCTGTTCCAGGTATTTTGTTATAAAAAGCCTGTTAAAAACAAGAGCGCTGTGGTCCTATAGTACTTTTGCTGTAACAATGTGATTTATAAAGCTAAGTCTTCGCAGCTTTTATTTTGAAATAACATAAAAAACGGAATTCTCTCTGCCAAACTTTTTTAAAGACATGTCCTTTGGTCATTAATCCATGGAGTGCTCAGGGGGAAGTGGGTCAGACTCTGGTTTCAAAACTGACTATAAACTGGAAAACATAGGTACAATTTTCAGCAAAATTCAAAGTATGTATATTTGATGGTAATAAAGTCAAGCACGGGAGAGTCACTTTCATGGTTTGGGACTTTTTTTCCAGATTTCTAACGTTCTTAGTGCAGTGGGCGTGTCTTTCTATGCAAATCACAACCTGTGTAAACAGAAGGTTGGGTCCTCCTCCCGCACATGTCCCCGATCCTCCGGCGGAGCAGCCGCGTGCTCAGGAAGACGCGCAGCTCAGCACACGTCTGAGCTCATTCTCTGGTTCAGCGAGCAAGCGGAGGGAGAGACTGCGATCGGAGATTTCATGCCCTGCTCGACATGCCACCTCACATGGATTACTTCTACCACGAGTCCCGAGTCCCTTCAGCCTGCGGGCTGACCCGGGAGGACGAGCTGGATCCCGCAGTGATCAGCTGTATGCTGATCGGAGACGGTGCAGTGGGGAAGACCAGCATGATCATCAGCTACATCTCCAATGGATACCCGGCGGAGTACAAACAGACGGGCTTTGATGTTTTCTCAGGTGAAGAAGACCTTAAATAAAATGTTTTTTTTCTTCTCCTGACATGTTGATTAGAAGTCGAAGCTGACTGGGTTACTGTTCCTACAGGTCAGGTCCAAGTAGAAGGATCTCCAGTCAAAGTTCAGCTCGTGGACACAGCAGGACAGGTATGTTCTTTAATTCTAAACACTAAAGTGTGTTTTAAGTCATAAAACTTCATTCTTTTTTTAATCACTAAAGTAATCAGAATGTAACCGGCTGTCATGTCCTCAGAGTGACTCGGGATTCCTCTCGAAATCTCAACAGCTGATCTCTTCCTCGTGCTTCAGCGTCACGATCCTGAACAGTTTGACTGACAGTGTCTCTTGTCTCCTTACTCCAGGAAGAATTTGATGAATTCAGAGCCATGTCCTACGAACACGCGGACGTCTTCCTGCTGTGCTTCAGCATGGTCGACCCGGCATCGTTTCACAGCATCACCAAGAAGTGGATACCAGAGATCCGGGCCCACAACCCCTCCTCGCCCGTCATTCTGGTCGGGACTCAGTCTGACCTCCTGCTGGACGTCAATGTCCTCATCAACCTGGACCGAAGCAACGTCAAGCCCATCCTGAGCCCCAGAGCCCGCAGCATGGCGGAAAAGATCAGGGCCACGGACTACATCGAGTGCTCCTCGCTCACGCAGAAGAACCTGAAGGAGGCTTTCGACGCCGCCATCTTTGCTGCCATTAAGAACAAAGCGCGCAAGAGCAAGAAGAGGAGGTTTTCCGACAGGCGCACCAAAGCTTTCTCCAGATGCAGCTGGAAGAAGTTCTTCTGTTTCATATGAACTCATCTTCTTCTAAAAAAAAGACATTTTAACTTATTTAAACACTTTATATCCACTTTTGATCACCTCTCAGATTTGTGGTATCCTTCTGTTGCTTCAAAACTTTGTCTTGGATGCCAAATATGGGGAAAAAAAGGACATCAAGAGTATCATGGAGTATTTTCATGCCACAAAACTTCAATATTTGTTCCAATTCAGCAGAAAAACAACCAAATTTGCACATTTTCTTGTGTGTCCATCTTTACAAAGTACCGTAAAGTCGTCTGAGGCGTTCAGGGACAGGATTGTAGCAGCATGGGGGGGGGGGGGGGGGGGGGGGGGGATAAAAGGCCAAGCCAGTATGTAAAAACTGAATTTGCATGATGTGCTTTTGCCGCTGGCTGCAGCCAGAAAGTGTTTGAGCAGATGGGGCGTTGTTTTGGCTCTTCTATTTATAAGCAGAACTTCCAGGTTGCAGTATGAAACGCTGCATTCTTACCTGCCCTTAACCTCACTGGCCTTTTCCCCCCGAGCAATCACGCGGCGGACACGTCTGGTGGAGCTTGAGGATTTGTTTTTGATGCACACAGCAGGAGAAGCCTCTCTTAAGCAGGAGCTGGTTGGAGGATCTGCAGCTGTAAAGGCGAGCACTGCAGGAGTGTTTTCTTCTGGGCTCTTCCACCCCTCTTTGTTTCGTTCGACACGCTCCTGATCTCCGAAGCCCACTGAGCAAAAATCCAGAGGCCGCTCAGCTGCACGAATGCCATTTTTGAGACTCTTTGAAGACCCAAACGTCATGTTTTGCACTCCAGTGTTATCTCATGTGACACATATAAACTCGTGAGCAGGGGCTTTTATGTTATGCTTCTTGTGGAAGCAAGTGTGATGTTTCTGTTGGTTGAACAGGTTTTTATGAATAAAACAGTAAATATTCAACCCAAAAATGAATATTTTGTGTCTCTGCAATCAGATTTTTTTTTTACTTCAAGGCAGAGTGATGTAAAAGGAAATAAAGTATCTTAAATCTCAGTGTTGTGTATGTATTTATATTGCTGACCCTCAGTGATGCGCAACTGAGTGAAAAACGCAGATTGGGTTGGTTCATCACGCACGATTGTTGATTTAACCGGCATGGAAAGAAGTTACTCATCTGTAGTCTGAGCTGGAGCGACAGGAAGTGAAAAATAATGTCAAAAAATGAGTGCGAGAACGCGCATCATGGTCATGCATCACGCTGTGACCTGTCTGGACTGTTGTCATCTCGGGGTTAACAGGAGGCGTCCTACGTCTGACCTCGTGCAGAGGTCATATGACGTTTTGACAGATGACACCTCACTGGTTTAACTCCTCTGTACCAGCCAGGACTGGTCTGCCTAATGTGAAACGCAGAAATTTACAAACAAATTGGGAATTATAATAATTGTACTAAATAACAGCAAAAATGGAAATAATGATTATTTGTAAAGCAAAATAATAATTATTGAACAAAAATGATTTAAAAATTTTTGTAATATGAATTTCACACATTCAACGTATAATTTACTGATATTGTATTGAGTGGTGCATTTGTACCATAAAATGTACATTTTTACTCTACTGCAGTGAACCTCAGCTGGCAGCCCGCCTGACCTTTCCACCCTTTGGGCCCATCGGTTCACCAGCTGGGTGAAGATCCATATCAATAATTGTTTACGTTCTCTAAACACAACTAAAACTACAATCAAAACAACAACATACAATAATATTTTTATGTTAGAAAAACATCTGACTCGTGGCGTCTGCTGGAAAAACAACTCAGGACATTAAAGAGCAAGTCACCCCCTACCAGAGTATTACTCCACTCCCACTTCCTGTTTGAAAAATGCAACAAATGCTGTTGCCTAGCAGACCGAGAGGGCGGAGCCACTAACAAATACACACACACACAGGCTCACAACGACATTGTGACATCATAATGTACCATCTAATGCCATTGTGTACCTCAGCCAATAGCGATGGCAGATTTAAATTCAGCTGCAGTGCAGAGTTTTTACCTGACAACGGCACAACACTGACAGTTTTAGGCAGAAATTTTAAATTTGAACTAAAATGCACTAAAGTGCAAAACTACTGACTACACGTGTCTGCAGCACGATTAGACACACATTTATATAGTTTATCAGAAAAAAGTACTTGGTTTGGGGTGACTTGCTCTTTAAGCAGATTTGGTTCAGGAACCCTGGTCTACTGAATTTAAAAAAAACAATTTTACCTTCTTTTTTTAATATTGTGTCATTTTTAGTCTTCCTGCACATCAGCTTGTTGCTTCTCAACAATAAAACGACAGAAGAGTAACTGTTTCAAATGAATACAAATGACTTCAGAGTTTAAGAGACTAAACCAGTTTTGTTAATTCTAGATCAACCAAATTAAAGACACAAAAATCCACTCAGCTACAAATTTTAGTAGATTTAGGATTCAGCAAAACTCAAAAGCATAGATTTGTTAAAAAGTTGTGTAGAAATCTGAAAGAATCAGGTTTTGTGGATCATTCGTTAGTAAATAAAATAAAAGTAAAAAAAAACACTAAAGCAGGCAAACACTTAATTGAAACACCCTAAAGTTAAATTTTTCGTTTTGTTCCTTTGTAAAGGGAGAATCCGAACGTAGTGTTTAAACAGATTTTTGGCCATTTAAGACTGTTTTTGTGCAATATTCATAAATACAGTCTTACCTGTTGTACCTGAAGAGCCTGTGTTTGGAGAAAAAGCTTTTACATCAATCAGGACTGAGGAGCTAACCACTAGTCCAAATGCCACTAGTATCAAAGTGGGTTACTGCCATTTTAAATTAGCAGCACCTTATTCTCAATTTTAGTTTATGTAACATTTAACAGTGTGAGGATTTATGTAAGTAAAGTCATTTAACTTTAACATTTAGGAGGTTGGAGCTTTTTTTTAAATGAGCCATAGTTGTAGAAAAAAAACTCATAAAATTTCTTATTTCACTTTTGATTTATTTCACAAAAGCAGTTGCATGTGTAGATTCTCATTTGCATAAAAAACAGCAAACATTGAGGATATTTAATGCAATGAGAACTTAGTGTGTTCAGGCAGGTGGAAGTCAGAGAGGTAACTTGTGGGCAACACAGACTTCCTACGGCTGAATGCGATGTTATTCCTCCTTTATTATTAGTGAGACAATATAAGGTGAACCGTTTTGCTCATTTCTCTCAAAAAAGCAGAACAGGGTGAAAGTAACGGATGATGCAGCTAACACTCATGCATGATGCAAACACTTACGCGCTGCACAATCGTTGAGCAATCACGAAGGCCTGCAATGGACCGGTTTTATGTTCCCATGAGTTAAGGGAACTGTTTTTTTCCTCCTGTTTTCTTTCTTCTCATGGTTAGTCACATGGTTAGAAGGCTGCTTCTCCTCCCAGGATCCCCCTGCTCTTAGTGATTGTGTCAGGAGTTGTCAACTAACTCTTCCTCTGGCGCTGGGCCAGTATCACTCTAGGTTTCACTGTAGTTGAAAACTGGCAAGAGGGCCTGGGAATCCGCAGGTGCACCAACAGGTCCGCCTGGCTTGGGACAAAGCCGATTGGCTCGTTCCTCGCTCTGCTCCTCGGCCGTCTGACCTGGCAGTTTGACAGTTACGCTCAGGGGAAGAGCTGGCAGACAGAAATACAAACAGCCTCTTTTTTTTTTTACTTTACTGTTCTTACTTTTGTTGTGTTTCGCTCTTGTTAAAGGGTCGGCTCATGAGAACCAGTTAAGGGCGTGTTTTAGATTGATAATAAGATTCGGTTTCAATGCTCAAAATGTAAAAAAATAAAATAAAAAAAACGCCAAAAACTTTCACGTAAAAGAAAATCCTTGCTGCCATCACTCTGTTTGGGATGTGAGGAGCGTTATTTAAAGCCAAACGACTTGTCAGCTGTTCTGAACGTGTTGAAGAATAAACTGTCAGTTTCGACGTTGAGCAGAGTTAAGGACGAATGAACCCAGTTTCTGGCTGCCTGTGCCTGCAGGCAGCAACGATTACTGCTATCCCACAATGCACTGAGGCAGAGCTCGGTGTCGGAACAGGATCTGCTCGGGTACAGGATCGGCTCGGGGTCCTTCGACTGCCGACGACGTCAGAGTAGTTGATTGGCTGAACACGAAGCTTACGGAAGTAACGTTATCACGTTATGATTTTTATTGGTCAGAACAAATTTGCGGTTGTACTCTCAGCGGTTGTGGTCCTGTAGTCCAAAAATCAACACTTTTTGGATAAAATATGTTTGAATTTCGAAAGGAAATGTAAAACATAAGCAAATTGTAAACGTATTTAGATAACAACTAAGGAAATATAGAGACGAACTCCACATTGATACAAACAGATGTGGCTTCACATATAAGGACTGTTCTAGTTTTTGTCAGTCCGATGTTGGTTTTAAGCAGTTTCACATTCTTTACAAAACAAAGATAATATGGTGTTTTATTAACAAATTACAATTATAAAGAAAACATTTAGGTGTTAACAAACAAGAATTTATTAACAAAACTGCTGATGTCTTTCCAAAACGTGTGTGAAAGCTGAGTAGATTTGCAGTCATGTGACGCCATCGGCAGTCGAAGGACCCCGAGCCGATCCTGTACCGACATCGGCCCCGTGCATCTGTACGGCAGCTCGAGCAGGAGCCTGATGGGAACACAACCCAACGTCTCACCAGGCTGGAAGATGCATAAATGGCTTTTCGCTGACTTGTTTTGTTTTCCACCAACTAACCTGAAAGTACTTTCCAAAGGTTGGATGGTCCACATGAGTCATTACACTCATCGTCAAGTGCTATGGATCGTATGTGCTTTGACACGTGCCCTAATCTACACTGACTGAGAGGCACATAACGACTTTCAAAGTGACAGCCATTGATCAAAGGGGCTCGCAGGCAAAGTGCTTGTGAGATTAAGCAACAATGAGATGATAAACACCTCCAACAGGCTTTGTCCTCCGGCTCATCGTGCCTCTGACGACTATCAGGCCTCTAGTGCTCTGAATGGTCTAAAAGGGAAAGGCAGGAAATCAGTTGTTAGGGATGAAAAGTGTTCTCAAACTGCTTTTAATTTTCTTTCACTGATCCGGTTCTGTTCATTACCTTTATGGACAGAATTTCTAGGCGCAGCCGTGGTGTGGAGTGTGTCGAGTTTGGTGGCAGGGGAATCTCGTCTCTGCTTTTTGCGGATGATGTGGTCCTCCTAGCTTCATCCAGCTCTGACCTTCAGCTCTTGCTGGGTAGGTTCGCGGCCGAGTGTGAAGCGGCTGGGATGAGGATCAGCACCTCCAAATCTGAGACCGTGGTTCT